AGGAAGGGGATCGAGTACTTGTACGCAAACTAGCATTTGATGGGAAACACAAGATCTCCGATAGGTGGGAGGATGGGAGTTACAAAGTCATTTCGCAGCCAAACATGGATATTCCCGTGTTTGTGGTAGAGAGTGAAGCTGATGGTCGTCAGAGAACACTGCATAGGAATCATTTGCTTCCCATAGGATATCTCCCGATACACACACCTAAGGAGACACCCAGACCCAAACCAAGACCCAGACCAAGGAAAAAACAGACATCTGAGACAGTAGAGGAAACTACCACAGAAGTTGATGATCATGTTTCTGATTATACAGATGAGGATGAGGAATATAGCAGAGTGGAAGTAGTCCCTTCCGTTCAGGAACCTCTCTCGGGTGAGAGGTCCTCAGTAGCAAGGGAGGAGAGAGGACATAAACCGGTACCGGACCATCAACCCTCACAGCAGACTTGTGGTGACGACCCTGAGGATGTTGTCGAGGAGGAGGAAACTGGGTTAGCTGATGACGGTCAGGCCAGTGATGAGGAAATTAACCCAGATTCCTCAGAACGATTAGACACTCCAGAAGTTTCTGCAAGGCCAAGAAGGAATTGCAAGCCTCCAGCGTGGATAAGATCCAAGGAGTATGCCATGGCCCAGCAAATTGTTGAGCCAGAATGGAAGCAAAAGGCAGCATTTCTGGAGAGGTTGATCATTAGTGGTAGACTGATAAGTACGACAACATTGGATAGAATCACCAATGGTCTACTAGATGTTCTGTTGAGCAGCCCTGGATGAATTTATCTTATATGTAATATTGCTAATGCCATTGTTTCTATCACCGTATCTAGTTAAATACCGGGACGTCATTCATCCTTGAGGGGGTGTATGTGGCAGGGATAGCCTGTCCAAGTATTATGGATAGTGTAGGAATTTAATTATAATGTTTTAAGACAGGCGGATGAATGAAGTAATATTAGTGGAGTTTAATATGTAATTATGTCGTGTTTGTTCAGATGTACATGTATTGTGTGTTTAGTATCTAGTCTTGTTCAGTGTCATTGTCCATGTGTCAGTTGTTCAGTGCCATGTGCTTTTGTTTATGTTTTGTTCTGTAACCTGTGACCTGTTTGTGACCTGTAACCCCATACTTACCTGTTGGTCATGTGACCTTTCCTACCTGCCCATGCAATTCACCTGAGTGTAAATCAGTTCTGGCAGACAGGTTGGAGGGATTGACCATATGTAAAAGGTAGGAGTTAATATGTTCAAAATTAATGTAATTTTGAAGATACTCTTTTCATGTAATAGCTAACTGTAAAACAGATTGTATTTACTCTCCAAATTAGGATGAGATATTTTGAGTAACTAGTATAGTGTACTTTATTGATGTACTGAGTAATGTTCAGGCTATATGCTCTGTGAATATTTGGAAATTTGGAATAACTTCTTTCTATTTCTATTTTAATGATAATGTAAATATATCAGACTAAATCAATTACATACTACGATGTAACAGCTATTAATTGTTCTTGCAAGTAGTGTAAAGAGTCATTGGTTATTTGTTCAGATTCGCCTGCAGTTATATATACTGGATTATCAGGATTATGTGGGAACCCTTGTCGCATTGATAGAGTAAGTTCATTACAGTTATATATAATATAAACAATGTATATTACAAATGATATATGTTATTGGTCTAAGTAATGTGTAATATATTAGCCAGTTAAATAGGTTATAAAGTCTATTTTGTCCATGAGCATTGTTATATAAAGTCAATGAAATCAGTAAATATATTGTGAAATAAATCATAAGTATGAAATGTGATTAATAATAAATGATAAATGTAATTATACAGATAATGATATGAAACCTTGTAATAGGTACAGTGTAATGTTTTAGTAACAAGGTGGTGTCTACTGCATGTTGTCTTATACGTTCGTTATTGTGTTCTTGTAGGGTGTAAGATTCTTCCAGCTAGTCTGATGTCCACAAATGGAATAATTAAAAGAATGGAAACCAAGAACGTGTTTGTTGTAACGCCTCTGCCCAAATCCCATCCCTGTTTCATCAAGTTCATGCTCTTGTATTAATGACATATAATGCATTATTCGTGCTGATCAAACCGAAGCTTGAGGTATAATTTTCTATAGTATTTTCATAAGATGAGTTTTATAGCAGCACACATTGCTTCTGTCTTTACTCTTAAATGTGAGAGACTTGTTGTGTTACAGATAAAATTTAACACAATACTGTGAAATCAATCATTTTCGCGGGTTTCATAGTCAGTGGTCCACGAAATACATGTTTGATATACAGCTTTTTTTCCGTATGATTTAGTACTCGTAATCCATTAGTTTATGTAACCACGAAATGTTTTTGGTCTTTTTTTTGGTAAAGGGAGCTTGCAATTTGGACAGCCCCCCCCCCCCCCCCCAAACAAAAATTGGCTTCTTGTTTTGAGTTGAGGGGAACAAATATAATTCTTACAAATCGTCGTCATAACCGCTGATTGGAATTCTACAAAATTTGACAGAAAGATTTCTTAGGTGGTTGGGATTCAGAGGCGCTGAGGGGAAGGACCAAAATGGCACTTGGGCCATATTTCCTTATCTGTTTTCTTCTCTAGAACTAAGGAATGTTCGTAATCATATTTAGTTGTATCCCCAAAATTGTACAAATGCAAGGGCTAATTCCTGGAATTCGAATTCGGGACCATACGAACTCTAGATGGCCGCTCTAATCAATTGAGCTGATTAGTTGCCGTCGATCGACCAAATCCAGCTATCCCAATTTTATATCCTGGGACAACTATATCGCATATATCCAAGACTAACGATATTCGTGTTTAATGAAGATAATATAGAAAAGTATTTTTCAATTCGTATCTACGCCTGAACGTTTCAGAAACTGATTTGATGATGCTTTATTAGTCATTTGAATTTCTTGTCAATTTCTTTTTCAGATCTCGTTCTAATGATCGGTCACGTTTGCTCAAACTGTGCATTTAGATGAGATATTATCTGATGTATCTTGCTTTTTTTGGTGTAAATAAGAATGATACATCTATAATATACCGGATATCACAAAATGCCGCATAAACATATCTTCACGAGTATTCTCCAAAAGAGCAATAACATTTACCATTGCATCTTAAACGTTTTTATTAATGTTTATTAATAGCACTTACGTAAATGTATTTCCAATTTCCTTCCATTGCAAATGTACGGAAGAATAAATGTTGATGTCAACTTTAAAACCTGTCAAAACATATGTATGATAATTGTTTTGTTGTTTACATAGCAATAAAATGCCCTAAACCGTTTATTACCGGTAACGTTTAGCTGTTTAGTACTCATATTCAATGTATTGCTTTATAAAACGAACTAGATTCAAAAAAATGAAAACATAGACTGAAGAAAAGTTTTCGTATAAGCGCCTGGTATATAATTACATAGTAAAATTCGATATAATGGCATATTTTGTCTTCTCGATCACAGCCAATATTGTAATTTTCCAAAGTTAATCATATCGTCTTATTAAATAAAATTGGTCAGCATTTGAATGAAAAGTATATAAGCAAAGGTGAAACACATATCTTTTTTAAAATTGCATTTTCTGCATCAGATGATTCTATCTATATTTCATAATCAAATTACTTGAGTTTTCTATCAAAATAACTGACTCGTGAATATTAACTGTGCAAGTTAAAAATTGTTCATGACGAAATCTATTTCTGATTTGTTTGCCTTTGTTCCTTTGTGATAGCTTGTTGGTATGGCTACTATGCCATTTCTTTTGGTGTTCAGAGTCACCCTGGGAGCCTTTATCTCAATATGTTTCTGCTGAGCGTGGTAGAAACACCTGCACAGGCCTCTTCATATTTCCTACAAATCGGTAAGAGTTTCCAATTCATATCTGTATTACACATTCTATAATATTTGTTATGCATGCAAAATGAATATAGTTTGTCTCCGTTATTATTAGTTTACTCAATGTTGTTCCTCTTGTGAATAGTCCTCGTTTGACCTTTGACACTCTTTTCCCGTATTTTAATTCCATCTTGAAGTGCCATTTCAATTAAATGTCACAGCTTAGACAGAAATGAATAACAAAAAAATGATGTATTTAATGTTTATACTCAGCAGTGTGACTACTTATTATTCTGTTGTCCTCATTGGGAATTGAGTGGAATAGCATCACTCGTCGCTGACAGACAGTTAACTTATATTTGGCTTTCGCTAGTATAAAGCCAGTGCGAGAATAAGCTATCGCGATCTTTGAAATGGGAACAACATATACAAGAGGGGCTATCATTGAGATGTGAATCAAATAAATCAGAGTTGAAATTATACTTATTATTATTACATTACATTTCATTTACATTGCACTTTTTTAAACGACCAAATACAATACAAGATAGAATAAAGCCATCATTACATATCAAGAGTTTACAGTCAAATGTATCAATACTTATCAATTAAATTACTTTTTTATTATACTTTTTAAACCATCATATACATTTCATTCACACATTTTAAACCTTCAAACACAAGACAAGTTAAATACATTTAAATTTCCAATACAAAACAGTCAAATCTACATTTACTTTAACATTAAATTTCAAAACAAAATATAAATATTCTTTAATTAAAATATTGTATGATGTATTATAAAAATTTATAGAAGGATTAACCACAGGTAAAGACACAGGTAAACACAGGTAAATACTGCCAATACTACTCAGTAACAGACTATAATCGTTCTAACAACATTACTCTCCCTATGTTATTTTAAAAAGTGGGGGAACTGAGAACAAGTCAATTCATGATTCTGTATTCATGTACTACTACTTTCCTTCAGATAATTTATGTCATGCGACAAACAACAACTGTCATATAAGCAAAGTTAATTCTATAACCTAACGTAAAATTGATGTATTAACACATTTTGAAATGTGAACTACTAATTTTACTTTTTAACATTAAACCTTAGTAGTATATTTTATAAGTTGTGTATTATTTGCATGATTTAGCGTAAATATATATGCTAGTCACGTTTCTAAACAAAGCGTAGCGTGAATTGAATAATATCATAATGTCAGCATAGGTCGAGTTATACTCGTATGTTACACTTGTTTACTCCTATTTTCAGGCATGTGGAACATTTTTGATAGTATGTTTGTATTTAAGATACATTCATGATATCAATGTCCATGTCCCAGATATGAAACCCCCATTTCTATGTTCGTAGACTTGGTGGCATTGTTAAAGGCATCGGTCTGTTTTAATGACTTTGATGCTTAAGCCGACATGACTCATTTTAGAGTTAACAATGCATTACAACTATCCGTTTCGGCTATGCATTATATTTTAGCTAGTTTTTTAATCCCTTTGCTAGTTTCTTTCAATTTTATACACCTTGGTACCAGTATAAAAATACGAGTCCTTCTTGTCAAATTGTATCTTTGTTTAGTCAGGTTGTCGTCCAATGAAGCAAGATCATCCTTGACATTAATTTCTGTTTTTTGTCGATGAGCCATTGAACAAACACTATAAATCAGAACAAGTTCAATTTGTGTCTTGTTCTTTTGTGATGACAAAAATGCCTTGCTTTTTGTCTTACGCAGAACTTCTTTATCACGCTTGGCTGCTGATATTGTGAACCTCACAGTACATATTTTACACCTACAAAAATTAACATTAAATTACCTTCATTTAAAACGAGGTCAACAGTTTGGACAATCCATCATTAACATATCTGAGGTCGTGACTGTGGAGTTAAAATATACACAACTGAAAAACATTTGAGGACGATTTATTTTAAACGTCACATCTTAATCATTTTCACGAGACCTCGATATTCCCTGTAATTCACAGGGAACTCGTTTGCGTATTAAACTTTTTCGTAAATGTAATCTGTGCAGATACCACTTTTCAATATTAACACACATTCCCTTTTTTCACAAGTTGAACAAAGACACATTCATTACGTCATCTTCATTAGCATACACGTATCATATTATAGATGTATAGAGTTGAGAAATACCTCAAATGTGAGAAGGATTGTAAACATATATAAATCTTGTGCATGCGGGTTGTTGATGACATACCGGTATCATTGTATTTTGAAACTCATCGAGAGAATTATTGTTAAGGTTTCTAAAACAATATAACTTTATAAAGTGATGTGGAGTTTTAAAATTTTCAACTATAAACAGGAGAGGAATGTACAAGAACAAGTTCTTCTTACACAACCATCAGTGCATTAGATTTTTATGAACTATTTTCAGTTCATACGTTGACAATAATCTTTACATATAGTCGGTAAAATAAAGAAAACCGTTAGTATTTAGTATTGCTGGTGTCATATTCGTCTACATACAAGTGTAATACCGTATGTAAATTAGTTTGCGCTAAGAAAAATCCAACAAATGCCCTGTTCAAAAATCCACCATTTAATCAATCACATGTTAACATAAATAGGAATACTCGGGACATTTATAGAATCGTCTAATTCATTATTAACAAATTACACAATCACATATATACCTTAAACGTATAACCTTGTCCAAAACAGGCACAACACTAGATAATTCAACACATGCAATACACATACATAAGCCTCCCCTTAATTTGGTTATGGATTTAACCGTAACGCGACTGGGACAGATTTTTTTCGTTGACTTAATAGCTCAGTTGAATAATGGAGCGGCATTGTAATGTTCAGAAAACCAGACTTCCAAACCCTTCATCTTTTTTATTTGTTCATAAAAACAAGCCATTCGGATTGATATGTGTCGCCTGTGCCCCGCTTTGACCATCATTGCACATGTCAAGTGTAGTTTGTCTAGCACTTATAGTTTCAGAGAAACTAACTTAAACGCAAAATATTAATGTTGATGGAGATGCTGACAAATTTAATGGACCATGAAAGGTAGGCCGCATATAGCATTTTATGCATGGCTTGATATATAAGATGCATCTATGGTCCAAGTTGGGTTGGTGTAGCACTCATTCTTTCAGTGAAACTAAGGTTAACGCAAAAACTTAATGTTGATGCCGCCGCCGTCGCTGGAAAAGCAACACCTTAGTCTCGCCCTCCGCTTTTTCGTGGCAATGAGACAAAAAATATTGGTCATGATATTCTTTTCATGAAGGATTAATCAAGATACAGTCATGCCAGAAAAAGTTTCATCTCATAGTTACAGTTTTGGCTGTGGTACAGTGATCCGTAAGTGATTCACATATTGACAGAAATAAATTCTAATGTACATCTATAATGTAAGTGTCTGATTAATTAATGAAAGCCTACAACGCATATCAGACTAGTTATGTCTACTTATACGATATAACTTGAACACAACTAGATACATGTTCAACGAAAATTATAATCTGGTGTCAAATGCTTCGTTTGTATGGCTTTCAAAATTCTGCGTCTCCTTTTGTCCTTTCTCATTCGTTGCTATGCCATCTTCGATAGGTTTTTTGTTTGTTTCTTGCATAAAAAACAGACCAAATGCTGACAGGAACATCACTCCACCAAAAATAAAGTACATAACTCCTGGCAAATGGCTGCTCTGTAAGTAATGATAAAAGATATTGCATGTGACATTTTTTTTTATTGTGTATTATATATATTTAACAACAAAAATAAAAATCTATCTCTTCTGTGTTACGAAGACAGCGACATTTCTATCAGATTTGTTTTTTTTAGTTTCGCACGAAGCTTTGCAAATTGTTAAAAATCTTATTCCAATGGTTGAGATTTTTATGTCTGCACTACACAGAAAAGATTGGTACATTTTATTCCCCACGTTTTAGCACCTTAAAAATAAGTTGTTATTGTGATATCAATGCACCGCGCTATAAGAATAAATGCGCATTAAATATCTGACAAAATTGATAACGCAACTCTGGTAACGCTGCGTAAATTGATGACGCAATGGTGAAATTAACGTTTCAGCATTATAGCACGCGTGAGCTGTCTCATCCTGCGTAGATTAAGAGAAGTTTGTCCTATCTATTCTTTGCCAAAGCGGGATGCCAAATGGAAAGCATTCGAGAATGGTGATCTATTGTATCGAATCTTATTTAATAAAAGTTTTAGTATGACACGAAAGGGATGATACACCGGAACTTGTTTAGAATATATGATTGTAAAGTTACCCTTATGACTTACCACATATACTAATTGTGGTGCTGCTATTGCTCCAATTCTTGCAAATGAGCTCTGCATTCCATACCCAATGTTCCTACAACAAAGAGGTCAAACTATACTGTAAACAATATGCTGTTTGTTGCTTCATGTTATTGTCACGGGAACTCTAACGTTGTGTTACGAAACTGGCACTGAGACGTCTAGAAATGTATATTTTATTAAAACTAGATTCAATGTTATTACACCTCCCACATCATTATCATTCAAACTGATATCAACAAAATGGTTGATTGAAGAAGTTTTTTTCTTGTTATGCTAGATATCACTATTGGTATATCATATTCAGAATCAAATAAGAAATGTTGAAGAAAAAAGATATGACCAGAATTCAGTTAAATGCTTATAATTTATACTTTTTTATAAATTTTCACAATCAACGGATACTTCATTATCGTAGTCGATATTTAGGATTTTGGTAGAATAGTCAATGACTACATCGGCTAGCAACTTTCTACGTCCTCATGTCTATGGGAGATGTTGTAGTCTTCTAACTCACATTCGACTTTAGTACGTTTTTTCTTTTAAATATTATGGTAATGCAGAGGGAAAGTTAAGATGTGAGCCTGAATATTAATCTTACCTACCTGACCACAGTAGGGTACGACTCCGACGTCAGAATAATAAGCGTCCCCCAACCAACGCCAACACCCATTTTGGAAGCCAGGGCGAATCCATTGATCAGAGAGTTCTTCATTTCATAATCTACATAAAAAATACGAATTACTAACTACTTGACAGAATTGTGACAATTTCATTTAGCATCATATCACTACAAACTTTTGAATTGACGTCACTTTAGAGTAAAATACACTGATATGCGTGTCAGATTTGTTTTCTGCATAATGTAACGCAATGTTTACTATAAGGAATAAGTTCAGAACAAAATGTTTTTAAATTCGCAGGTGAAATGTAGTTTTGTACTTCGGACCTGTTTATGAAAGCATTTCCAGGCTCAAATATGAATCATCCGTTTAAACTAATGTCTTAGAACTCGCTATAATCACAAGAAAAAATCAAAAAGAGAAGGTATGAAAAAAGGTCTTCGGCTTCAAACGTCTTTGAAATTCCTACTTTTATAAAAATAAAATGTAGGTTTTGAAACGAGGAATCGGCTGGAGCACATACTCGTTGTTTGAGCTTAAGAATGTTCCCAAAGATGCATGAACCAAAATATTACCAGATATTTGAATAGCTGCAACAACAAAACCAGTTATGCCTGCAATCAACAGCAAAGCCAGTGTCACCCATTTTCTACCATATCTAAAAAGGAGGAAATCATGACTCTTCAAATTATACAAAAATGTATATTGCAACAATAACAAGCTTATGCTGTTAAGATTTAGTGCTTTTAAAAAAAACCAAGAGAATAACAGAATGTCAACAAACGTATAATTCAAAATCAGAATCAATAAAACCAGAGCAGAATATGAACAAACAAAAGAAATATTAAGATGGAGACTCTTTAAAAAGTACAAGTAGATTACAATCAGGATCGTGTTCATGAAACCGTTCTCATGCTCAAGCATGGATTTTGTTCTGAAGCTTAATGTCTTGTTCTGTTTATAAATTAATAATAAAATCTAATTTTGTCAATAATTCGGGCGGAATACGAAGAAACTTAAAGCCGAATACTGTTTCCAATGCTTTTTTGATCATTTGACATGATTTAAGTGTGTAACAACAATGTCGGTTTGAGCACAAAATCCATACTTGAGCATATGAGCGGTGTCATGATTACGGGCCCAGCTGTTCCGGAAGGATATGCGTTTTCTGCTTCATTAATGACACCCGCCATGTAAATCGAGGCCAAATCCAAGTATTGCAACGTCCTCATATATTGAGAACTGGGGCGAAGACAGCAGACTATTGAGTATAAATATGAAACACATCGTTTTTTTGTGATACATCTGTGTCTAAGATTTGACATTTAATTGAGATGGCACTTCAAGATTGAATTATTATACGGGGAAGTGTCAAAAGAAGACTATTTTAGTAAAATAACGCTCAACTCATTAACGGAGAAAAACTATATCCTGTTTGCATGCATAACAAACATTACTGAATGTGTAACATAAATATGAATGGGAAATACATACCGATTAGTGAGATAATATGAAGAGGCCTGTGCCGGGATTTCTACTACGCTCAGCAGAAACATATTGAGATAAAGGCTCCCAGAAAGACTCTGAACACCAAAAGAAATGGCATAGTAGCCATACCCACAAGCTATCCTAAAGGAACAAAGACAAACAACCATAAATGTGTACAGTAAATACTCACGAATCAGTTATTTGGATATGAAACTCAAGTAATTTGATTATGAAATATAGGTAAAATCATCTGATGCAGAAAATGCAATCTAAAATATATGTTTGTTTATCTTTGGTTAATATCATTGTCATTTAAACGTTGACCAATGTATTGTTATAAGATGATATGATTAACTTAGGAAATTGAGATATTGGCTGTAATCGAGGAGGCAAAATAGAGTGTGGGGAATTTTATTAGTTTTTACTACATGTATATAGCCATAAACTAGGCGCACTATATAAAGACTGTTCCACAGTCTATATGTTTCAAATTTTTGAAGTCATAATCGTTTTTGTTAAAAACTAGTTCATTCTATAAAGCAATACATTGAATACGTGAACTTGCAAACCTAAACGTTACCGGTAATAAACCAGCAACAAAAAAATCATCATACCATGCGATGCCTAGCAAACACGTATACTTCCGTAGCTGCGGGGACTTGGCTACGTCCCAGATCGTGTATCTCCGCTCAGCGTCGACTTTTAAGTCTACTTTCACAAGGTAACTCATCTTACTCATATCCGGTTCCGGTTTACCATTGATTCGCGCTATTTTGCAGACGACTTCCTTTGCTTCATCTAGTCGGTTATGGGTGACGAGGTAGCGGAAACTCTCTGGTAGAAACCTGTTAATCAACAGAGTGATTGTAGTGAAACTGTAGGTTCACGAACATACCTCATTTATAGTGTCGTGAATAGATCTATGCTTTTGCCATTTTGATTATTTTTAAATTATATATTCTGTTATTAATTAATCCCGTATGTGGTTTTGACTGCGGTCAGGTTAATGAATATTTGTTGTTTAATAAAATAAGGAAAAATGTAGTTTAACGTAGGTATATATTTTCCGAAATGTTAAAAGATGGTAGAACAGGTGTCTTAGTACTGAAACATAAAAACAAGTAACGACAATATCGGACGGACATTTTCCTCAGATCGGTGACTTCGTTTGAGTCACTCAGAATTAATCTTGTGTGCCCAAGTATAACTGTATATCGGGAAGTTTTCGCTGTAGGATAACTTAAAGTCTTTTTCACCTTCTTTAATGAGAGTAAAAATAGCATGACAACAAATATTTGTATATAGCATACCATACATAGTAACTGCATATGAAAGGCGAAATTAACACAGGGCGAATATGGATGCAAGGTTTAGACAGGGCGAAATGTTTCCGGTATATATGTTATACATTTCCTCGCTTTCGAGTCGACTTCAACTTTTCAAAACGTTATACCAAATGTGCTTAAAGTCTGTAATGATCATATTTGTAGCTCAGTGTTTGCTATGAGTATTACAGGAAAGCGTTGTTTGGGTATTTTTACCAACTCCTGCTTATTTTTATTTACAGGACATTGACACTTATACCCTCTGATAAAAAAGTTTGCGACAACAGATTTGCAAGATTTGCTGGAGATTCTCCAAATGCAAAATTTGCAGTAAAATTTATTTACTGTTTACAGCTAGCTGATGCTTTAGGAACACAGACATGTGTGATATCACAAATAAATAATACAAATACGAAATTGTGATGAGCACGGGCACAAATCATGTTTGATGGATGAACACTTACCACCACATGAAAACACATGGTAGGGTCAGTATAGCCGTAGCGAAGTGAAGGTATCTCCAGTCATGAAGCCACATAGCCACTAACCCCAGCACACATGCCCAGATTGCCCATCCTGGATATGCTATCGCAGCTGATCTTCTTCTTGCAGGGATGAACTCAATCAGGTAGCCATAGAAAACGGTAAGGTGCGCACCAACGCCAAAGCCGAGCAGAAAACGAAGGACTGCAAACATTTTCCATGTTGTTGAAAAGCCAGAAATAGTGTTAAGTACTGTCAATGCAATTAAAGACAGAAAGTAAGTCGGTTTCCGACCAATAAGGTCTGCAAGGTGACCAGAGGCTACACAACTGACCAGTAATCCGACCATCTGAATTGTCGTGATAGTAGAGGCTATCCAGTCTTTGTCGCATATCAATGTCCACTGCAATAGACATAAATATAAAAAAAAAGAAGTTTGTTAACGATGCAACACGAAAAGTTTGAAATGCCATACTACAACGCAATACCATCATTTTGGGTATATTTCGAGCAACAAAAAGCCAATGTACAACAACCCCCTTGTTCAATGATTACATAGAAGTCTATTTTATTTTCATAGTGCCATAATTAACCATAATTCCAAATTTGAGTGAAATCGTACGATACCTATTTTAAGTTTCAACTAATCAGAGTAATGTCCACAGCAGTCATCTTGCTCAGTGACTAAACTGAAGGTTCTTTAAGCGTTTTCGGTGCCATAATACATTTACATACAAAACTTGCGCAAAAATGAACAATATCTGAGTTTTGGCCATTCAATGACTAAATTGTAAAAGCGTTTTAGTTACCAGTATCATAATACATATGTCTATATAGCAAATTTGAGAAAAATCAGCAGATATCTAAACTTTGACCAATCAAAGGCCAGTCTACGGCGGCCATCTTGTCCAATTAAACGATGAGGTCAAACTAATGATTGTGGTACCATTCAACAGCTACAAACCAAATTTGAGCGTTATCAAACAATATTAAAATTTTGACCAAAATCATTGCAGAACTGGGCAGCCATTTTCTTGAAGTATGTTGATTTCCTGAGGGACCCTTCAAAGTCATCCCATAAGTATCTCTATCGATCCATCAAAGGATAATTTTGTACCCTTATTTATAGAGGGGAATAACTCTTCAGGTCTCCATTATCCTCAATAACTGTTTTATTTTTTCGAAATATCATCTCAGGAGTCTGTGTTATGTAACACATATAACAAAAATACAACGTTTGGCAATGTAACGAGCCCCTGTGTTGTCACTGGTTCATTAGGTCTGGTAGCATATGTATACTACAAATACCTATCACTGTCAGTGTTTTGCTTTTACATTAAATTAAACAACAATAATAGCCTTTCAGGTTCTTAAGCTGTTGGGAGGTGGAATCTCCCGTTCGCAGCAATTGTTGATGTTTGTGCTGTCGTCCGGAACACATCGTGCGTTAGAGAGTCTAACAAAAAGAGACAACTCGTCAGATAATGTGTGAGGGTTTCCGAAAGGGATACTCGACAGGGGAAATGGATCGCTTGAGGGAGACTCGATGCTTTATAATCCTGTCATGTGATGTGTTTAAACCAATCAGACACACTGTAAAATCAATGAGGAATAATAATACAGATTCATACGGATCAACTATTCAGAAGCTGTTTCTGCTATGTTCAATGATCAATAAAAAATCAAACGCGTTACGTACATTGACAACTGCTTACTAATGTTTATGAAAACTTAAATAAAAAGATAGGGCAACATTTTCGGAGAAATTGACCGAAAAGCGTTTGGCGGAAGAAAAATTATATGGGAAAAAAAGTCCCATGATAAGAACTATAAATAATCTGTGCATGTCTGTAACATCATACTTAAATATGAAATTGCAAAGCTACAACATTCAGATATGGACTTGGGCCTTAATTCTTTCACAATCCTGGGACAGAACAATCATTTTTCATAAACATAAAAGCATGGTAACACTAATTCTCCGTTAAGTTTCGTCCTTGTTTTAACGAATTCGTTCATGCTGTATTCGTTCTATTTGCATTAAAATAAAGAAATGCGAAATTAAAACAACCGCAAATATTTACTATTTGACAGAACGCATAATTATAATTTCTCATTGTAGCAACATTTATTAAACTTATGAACTGATCAATACAGTTGAATACTGAGGATATTAGCAACTTACCTCACTCACAACAGTATTCATACTATCGGAAAATATATACTCCTGGCAAGTCTGAACGGTAACATTTTGTGGAGGATAACACTGTCCATCTATATAATCTATATCATTCGTAGTTATGGATGGGATTGTCCCAGGGTTTGAATAGTTTGTTAATCGACACTGCCAGTCAGGAATTGCTCCAGCAAAAGTCATCATCATCATAGTCCAAGTTGCTGCAACTTTACTGTACATCATGAAGGAAAACATAATCCATTGAAATCTTGAAAATCCGCCACATTCCTCTATCAAACTTTCCAAGTATGCACTTGTAGCCGACATCTTTTAGTTCTTGACTTTAAACTGTATATTTGTTGGAATTATGTAATGATACCTGATGAAAGCTGTCAAACGTAAGAAGATCCGGGTCCCTTTTCCTCTCTGATGATGTCATAAAACTGTCAAAATAAACATAAAAAATAACTTTATGGCAAAGCAGAACAGGTTTATGTGAAATCTGAATAATATTATTTGCTGTTTAGACTATCCCCACAAAGCATCAAGGTGACACGTAAACATCTTTAACATTGAGACAGTTTTACCTGTGCATGTATACATGCTGACCTATCAAATAGCGTTTGAAGTGAAACTCTTGATCCACGTCTGCATTCGTTGAAATTGATGTTAGCACATTCTGAAGTGAACATACGCCTAAGGTTGTCATTGTATACTGATTTAATTTTGTATCATTATAACTTTTGTGCAGAATATCAAAAAATTATGGCAAATTCGCTGGTCAGAGATTGCTATATCAGAGTTGTTACTTGGCTAAAATATTCATTGTAATGTTTAATTCATTGCAATGAACAATATGACAATAAAAAAAACAACAGAGGTATCAAATGGAAATATTGATGCATTCTATGAAAATGTAGACTGTGATAGAAATAAGCAACAGCCTCAACACATCAAAACCAGAAAGCTTTGAAAGCAAGGGAAATACGAAAAAAAACCAGGAGAATGATTAAAAGTCGATGAAACTAAGAAAAATATCAACAAAGAAATATAATTATACGTACATGAAGACCAATGAAAATGTTAAAGAATAATACTATGTGTTCCAGAAGGATAATCATGTGCTGCTTCATTGACGAAACCCGCCATGTAAAACAATGTGAATTCATAGTAATGTGACGATATCAAAGAAGAGAGAAACGGGGTAGTGACAACCGAAGTAGAAAGATCTCTGATGAACATAAAAATATACAACACTAGAAACCTAAGAGAAAACAATGCAAAAAAAGGTAAACAATAACAGAACAATTACCAATAATTAATAAATATTTGATTGAAATAATATAATATTTTTGATAAATTTGCATTACGTCATAGAAGTAGTCATTAATCAATGTAGATACTAAAGTTTCATATATAATGGTCATAAATACAACCGTTATTATTCCTCATCGTAGATTGAATCCTCTCTGGTCAAGTAGTTTCTTGATCAACACGAATGTTACCACCCAGAAAGGTCTGTCCGTAGGATCCATCCCCTTTTCGACATATGTCGTAAACAGTTATCACGCAAAATAAATTTAAGTGAGTTTGTGAAACCTTAACCAGATATATCTCGTTTATCATGAATTATTTTATTTTCACCGTTGGAGGCAAATGTGTTGATAATGTTAAACGTATATAATTTTGTAGTTTAATGTGTTGTCACGTTTTTAGTCAATATAGATAATTGTTTGTTATAGGTAATGATATGTACGTTCATGATGCTACAATGTTTCAAATTTACGACTCAATTGTCATACAAATATTTGTTGACCCATATTTAAGTCTCTTGTGGGGTTCCAAGTTAGCCCCATGTAGTTCCATGTATACCATTGTTAACAAGATTTTATGAAAACTTTTATCACAATACATATTTCATTGCATCTGTTGTTTGATTAAAACAATATAACTTTAATGTCCATGGGATTTCTAGTCAAAACTTCCAGTCCATTTGCATAATAATATGCATTTAACTTGTTGTAAACTACCTACTTTTATTCTAGAACAGGAATATATCTATTCATTTTAAATATATATAGACCCCCAAGTTGTGATGTAAAGATTTGGATGGAAAAAATGGAAAAGGTTTTCTGAGCTCATGATAAAATGAAAACAAAGAACTTATTGTTATGGGCGATTTCAATGTAAATTTGCTGGGAGTCCATACCTGTGATCTTCTTGATCTGATGGAGAGCATTAACCTACATCAAATGGTGACTGAGCCGACCCGTGAAGCGGGTTCAGAGACACTCATTGGCCACCTATACGTGTCTGAACCTACATTTGTCAGATTGGTCAAGGTAGTGAAAAATGGTCTTAGTGACCACTACCCACTATTGAGTCATTTACAGATGTAGACAATGCATTGAGTACATGGACTAAGTTTTTCATTGATGTGGTAGATGACCATGTACCAATGGTTGAAAGGCAAGTTAAAAAGTCAAAACAACCTGACTGGTTTAACGAAACCATTTCAGATAATATATGTATAAGAGACAGACTGAAACGAAATGGTGAATATGAACAATACAAATTGCAGCGGAACAAAGTTACTAAACTTATTAGAGAGGCTAAAGCCACATACTATAAATATGTTGTTGAATATTACCTAGACAACCCAAAGAAACATTAGAAATTTGTTCGGGAAGTTGTCCCAAAAAAGTCTTCCTCAACACCTACAATTTTTGCTGTTGGTGACGAGACAATTTTTGATAAGAAAAAAATTGCAAATCATTTCAATGATTTCTGTTCGGAAGTGGCCGGAATGCTTTCATCATCCTTAAGTGATCAAATATCAAACTTTGATCACTTAACAAACTTTCTAAAAACAAAGCTGTCACCAGACACTGTTTTAAGTTTGCCTAATATTACTGCTGATTTTACCAAAACATATCTTTGTTCACTTGATGTAAAAAATCAAGGCTCCTTAGATTAGCTGGGGCCAAGATTGCTCCATCACTCCCCTACACAATGAACATGAGCATCAAGAGTGGTAAATTTCCAACACATTTGAAGCTCGCAAAAGTCATGCCATTACACATAAATGGTATGGCCTCAGAGTTGTCCAATTATAGGCCTGTTTCTATTTTACCTGTTATTTCCAAAATACCGGAAAGGCATGTTCACAGCACTTTTAATAATTATTTGAATACCAAAGATCCCCTCCTCTCATCACAATCTGGTTTCCGGCAAAATCATTCATGTAAAACCGCCCTTTTAAATATTGTTACTAATTGGGCACAGGAAATTGATCATGTAAATATAAACGATATAAAGGATTTTGACCTGGTTAACCATACTGTATTAATAGGAATATTAAAAATGTATCAATTTGATGTCACTGCTGTATCTTGGTTCAAATCTTATTTAAGTGATAGGTATCAACAAGGCCATGAGGATAACCCATGGGGAACCTCAGTGCTCAATCCTTGGTCCTTTGATGTTTTTAGTATTTATCAATGATTTACCGTTGATAACTGCTTGTAGGACCGACATGTACGCAGACGACTCTACACTGTCTGCTTCTGGAAAAACAGTTGATCTTGTCAGAGCGAAGTTAGAACATGATTTAAAGAAAGTGGAAGACAATAAAACGATTGTTAACGCAGATAAGACAAAATGTATGGTTTTAACAACTAAACAGAGGCGCTGTAAGTTAAGTGAAAATGAACTTAATTTGAATTTTAAAAGTGAGAAATACAACGGGTAGAGACTGAAAAAACATTTAGGAGTAGTATTAGACCACCACTTGTCTTATTCAGATCATATAAATTTCATTCTGAAGAGGTTAAGTTGTGGATTATGGCTACTCCGTCGTATCTAACAGTATCTGCCAGTATGTGGACGGTTGAAATATTTTAACTGATGTGTATTTCCGCATGTTGTATACTGCTGTACAGTGTGGGCAGGCTCTATTGACAATATAATGAATTACAAAAACGTGCACCACGCCTAATTTTAGATGTTTCATTTGAAACTCCTTCGAAAGAAATGTTTTCTGTGTTGACATGGATGCCTATAAAATTGTATATAAATTATAGAAAGTCTGTAGTGACCTTTAAATGTGTACACGGACTTGCTCTCGAATATTTATGTTCTTGTTTTAAACATGTAAACAGTGTCCACTCCAGAGCTACATGTCGGGCTGAACAGAATATGTTGTACATTCCTAAGCACAGGACAACCTTCTAGTCTAGTCACTTTATTTTATCAAGTTGTAAGACTTGGAATGCACTTCCAAATAATGTAAGGTCATCACCATCTTTTAACACTTTTAAGTATAGAGCAATAAAGCACTACTGTGATTCATACTTTTAGATAAAGAAAATAGTTTTGATGTATGCTGTATTAGCGTATACCCTGGCACTTTTTATACTTTCCTATATTAGCATGCAAGTATGTAAGGCTCCGGCCATTTAACTATTATCAGACCTTTAAAACATGAGATTTATGCTTTCTGTGATATTTGATGTATTGTACTATATAATTGCATGTAAGCTCATAACTTATGTTTTAGATGTCATTTGTGTTTGATTTATATTACTATGTGTTAAGAAGTGCTATGTAAAACAAACCATTTTACTAATATATAAGGACCCTGAAGGAGATTAGCCTTTGACTAAATCAGGTTTTTAATCCTCAATAAATAATGTTTATTATTATTATTATTACTATTATTCATAATTACATTTTGTCTATGATGACACTATCCTAGTTTGGTTCAAAACGTTAAAACGATATGGCTTCCATAACAAAGCATATGCAAGGGGGTGTTTTGAGAAGGGGAAATGTTTAAATATCTCATTTTGTTTTGACAGGTTTAAAGTTGACATCAAAATCTATTCTGCCGTATATTTGCAATGGAAGGAAATCGGAAATGCATTTACGTAAGGTTTATTAATTAAGATTAACAACAAGGTTAAAGGAGCAAGGGTTGGTGTTATTGCTCAGTTGAATTTTCTTGCGAATAGATCTTTTCGAGTATAATCGTGAAGATAAGTATATGTGACATTTTCTGATATCCGGTATATATATAACAGATGATTCAAACTTATTTACACAAAGAAAGTAGGAGACATCAGTTAATATTTCATCTTAATGCACAGTCTGAGCAAACGTGACCGATCACTGGAACGAGATCTGAAAAAGATATTGACAAGATATTCAAATGACTAATACAGCATCGTTAAATCTGTGTCTCAAACGTTAAGGCGTAGATACGGATTGAAGAATACTTTTCTATAGTATCTTCATAAAACGAGAATATCGCTAGTCTGGGAAATATGCGAAATGGTTATCCCTGGATATAATATTATAAATCTATGTAACTGAACTTGACTGGGTCGATTGCCGTCGACAAAATAGCTCAATTGGTTAGAGCGTCCGTCTGGAGTTCGGAGGGTCCCGGATCCGAATCCCAGTCAGGCCTTTGACTTTTGTCCTTCCTTTTACATCTGGCGCCGAACTTAGTGAACCTACGAGAGGTGGTAAAGGGTCTCATTTGTCTTTGGGCTCGACGAATTTGATTAAGGAGGGAGGAATCTAGCGAAACTTGGCTGGGTCGATCGGTGGCAACTATGTAGCGCAGTTGGTTAGAACGTCCGTCTAGAGTTCAGAGGGTCCCAGGTTCGAATCCCGGTCTGAAAGTGCATTTTCCCGCCCTATTACATAAGTATTAAAAACTTTAATATTTAGATTAGTATATGACTGGTGCTTATTCCGAGCCCTGATTTGTAGGAGCGGCGTCATGTGATGAGTCTGTTAATCTATTATATACCTCTTTTTATGAATAGAACAATTTAGCAGACCTCGACCTATAAATAGAAAAGTGTTACAGACCGCTACTAAAGATAGGCCTCAGTCAGTCTGTAAATCTGTTACAAATCGCACTACTGAATTCAACTAGAAGTATATTATCTCATCAAATGCTTAACTTTGTGATGCTGTTGATGATGTCGATTATGCAAATGATATTTACTTGAAATTAAAAACCACATGAATTGAATCTGAAATTGTGTAAATCCATGTTATATTGTATTTGAAGTCCTTCACTCTGTGATTTCCAAATGGTCCATGCTACCCTTGTGTTAATGACTTGAAAACTGATTAATCTCAAAATGGTCCATGCTATCCGTGTGTGTATGACATGAAAAATGAATTATGTGATATAATAAAACAATTGTGGACTTCAGGTGAGGTCTATCCCTGATCTGGTCTAAAAAATATCACCTCGGCCTTCGCCCTCATCCTTCATCTCACCTGAAGTCCATAATTGTATAATAGAAACAAGTATGACAGCCTCAATATGATAGAAAAGACAAATCCCATCAAAAAAGGAAACACTAAAACACTGAAATTGGGATGAGCTGGCGAAATTCTGATTCATTTAATACCGTCCTCTTTACACATTACAGATACACATACACACTTAAATATCACACGTTGAATGGAAACAAAATAACAAGAGGCCTAGAGGGCCGGTATTGCTCACATGGATATTAAAGCAATTATGGCAAAAGATTCTCAATACAAGTAGTATGGCAGGTAAGATCTTAGCTTTGAGATAGGGTTATTCCCCTGGGCTAATCCTACCAGCATATTTGTATCCAAATCTTCATTGTCAGCAATTGTTTACATTATAATAGGGTTGGGATTTCAATGATTTCCATTTTAGGGTCAGTTCTAAAACCATGACCTTATTCGTGTTTTTATACCCAGCAATTGTATATATGGATAAAGGGCGGGGATCTCGACACTTTCAGAGTTATGACTAAGAACATTATACCCAGGGGTGTGACCAAACCCCAGGTTCAATTCTTATATTATTGTTGTATCTGTTGCTTATTTTCCTGGCAGTTGTATTTATGGTTATGGGGTCAGGATTCGACAGTTTCAAAGTTATGACCAAGTGACTTAGTCTACATGGTGGGGCCAGACCCCAGAGCCATTCTGCTAGAAAATGAGTATTAGTAACTTTTTACTCACATCAGCAATTGCAAATTTGGTTATAGGGCGGGGATCATAATAATTTCCAAGGTAACAAAGTTTTTGACCCTGCCCGCAACACTTTTGGGGTTAGCCCTTGCATTTGTACAATTTGGTATCCTCGCAACCTACAAATGCGTTCAATCAACTGGTACCTGTAAAACTGGAAGTTCCAACAATTGATAATGCATCCAACTAACGGACGGACGACTGACGCCACGGTTTGGCATAAGCTTACCTTAGTCGTTCTGAACAGTTGAGCTAACAATATAAAAAGGAGAGAATTCAATAACGTAAAGGCAACTGAGATAATAATGCATTTAATTGTTCTAAATGCAATTGAACAATTCGGCAATTCTCTTCAAGGCCTCTGTCATATAATATTTCTCAAAAACTTAAAAAAAAAACCTGACAGACAAACCCAGTTGTTTGGTTTTCGTTTAATTATTTTGTTGTCTCAACAGTTTTGTCGTTATTTTCTTGTGTCAGAGTTAACCCACTTCCCCGGGACGACTCAAAACAGGAGGCCAAATGTTCATGAATGTCGGCGTGGGAATTAATAACGCTCCAATGCAAGAAAACTAATTATGTTGTGAAGGCTTGTAAATATAGCCACAGTTTACATACATGTACATAAATACTGTGAAATAAGATAGTTTGATTGGTCCGAATTTCAAGGTCCCCCTCCCCCAAGAAAGAAATAACCCCAACCATTTCGTGCATAGATAATGAATTCAGGGTACTGAATCATACGTAAAATAGCTGTAATTCAAACCTGTCATTATTTCGTTGACCTTTGATATTGTGGACGAAGAGTAACCATGAAATCAACGAATTTAAAATTCCTACGAAAATCATTGTGTTCACAGTACTATGTTAAATGTCGTCTATGACACAAGTGTCTCGCATTTAAGAATAAAAACAGAAGCAGGCTGTCCTGCTGCCAAACTCATCTAATAAAGATACTATAGAACACTATAGTTAAAGCTTCGTTAAGTTCATCATCACGGATAATACATCACATGTCATTATACAAGCACATGAACTTGAAAGTACTTCATGTACGTGAATGAATACAAAGTCACAATAGGTCATACATGCATAGTACAGTAGATGATACATGGGATCCAGCTCTTTATCTTACGATCAAGCGTGACTTTATATCTCTTTGGTGAACTGCAGATACTGGTATCAGCTGTTTCCAACTCAAGCCGCGGTCACATCTTACGGTCATGGACGTAGTCGACCGTAATGGGGAATGACCGTAGTTGACTTTTGATTTTGAATTGAGTGTTGTTGTTACTTGAATATACCCAACCATATTGCAAGAACATACGAAGAATTGCTTGGAAATATCTTAACCTACTCAATAATGTAAAAGTATATATGTTATGGGGTTAAATTGTTTTTTTTTTTTATGGGGACAAATTCGTTTGGATTATATTTCGTGGAGTCCATATTTTAAAACCATGTATTTTTTCTGGTAAGTAAGGGGTTTAAGTTGACAGGTGACAAACTGACACAGTGCAGGTAAATACAGTAAAGGAAAGATTTGGCGAAATTTACTCACTCAATGGGTATCGGTCAAATCCATCACGGTCTATAGAGTTAACGGTAAACACAGAGAACTGATCAAACAAACATTCGTTGAGTGTTACGCGGCACAGGCATCTTTGCAAATACAAGCCGTAGTAGACATCGAGAAAGTGTCGGTTGATTCGAAAACCCGTGTTGTCTTATAACAAGCCCATGCTAAATTGCTTCTGTATGCAATGAATGTGGACTGGTGCATGGCAAACAGTACATTGTTGATGGCTGCCGACTGGCCCGGATTACCGAGCCTGTAATAGTGACATGTGATGACGTTACCTGCGTAACAGTAACTGTGTAACAAATATTTAAGTGTTAACCTCTGTGCCTGTGACGGTAATTACACCGTTAATCATGACGTATGTCTAAATGTAAACATCATGAATTTGTAATAAACTAGTCGTTTATTTAATATTTTCGTTTAGTTTATATTTTGTGTGTTTATTTCGTTGGGATTATATTTCGGGGTTTATATAAAGGAAAATGTTATGCTTTTACAGTATATATCAACTTATAATGACAAATAGTAAAGCATTTTCTTAAATAAAGTTTTAATTGATTCATTTTTCAATAATTGCAACTAACAATAAATTTTACGATTGAACATGCAACGCATACATTTACAAAAGTTTGCCCAAACTAAATAATTACGCTCGCTTGTGGAAGTATTCTCATTGGACCCTTTAAACTGATCGCGTTCTAAACAATTTCGCGTTGGAAACAGTTCTGAATATATAAATTCAATGTATCTATAATCTAAAAGTAAATATTCGCGTGTGGATTTTTTCACTCAATGCGTATAAAGGGAACATTTCCACGCCGCGTAAAATTTCCACTTTTCACTTTTACTGTAGTCCTGATCTGAAGTCGGACCCACGATTACCAACACACTGGTGTAATACTCTACACGCCAAACAGACGGTGTGTAAAAGTGTTGGTAAAGATTTGTTTTTAAATTATAACCTAAAACGACTAAACGTGAACCCGAGACGGTAATTCTTGGAAACTGCAACAAGGAACTTAAATTTTACATCATAATTCGCATTTGTTTTGGTCTTTCATATTGTCGGAAACCATTTTGTCAATGGACGGTAGTTCATTATTTGGAGCTGTATTTCCTTTTTCCGTATCTTTTTTTATAAGGTCCTGCATATGCTTTCCTTTTGTTTCCAGAACTAGCAAGATGCACAATGCGGAAGTGATCATTACACCTCCAAATAGGAAGTACATCAGTCCTGGTGTGTACGTGTTCTGAAATTATATATCAAATAAACAAATTTATGCAACGACATCCAGTATAGCATCAATGTGTAGCAACAAACAGTTAAACATTGTTTTTATTGATATGCATTTGCTTCGAAATTACAGCGTTTCTTGTGGAAAGAGCATCGTTCACATCTGCAGTATATGATAAAATATGGTGTTTTTGGGCAGTTTCCAGGCAGAAAAGAAAGCCTCTGCATGTCACAAACAAAAATTCCTTTCTACGAATGAATACTGGCATGGCAATGCTTAAGCATGTCAAGTATTTATCTGTTTTTTGCATGCAGAGGCTTTTGAAAAATTGAAGAATGTTTAGTTAATTTCCTTCGAAATGGCAAATTTTCAACCAAATAGCGCACAACAGACGTTATTCGCTCATTTTATTATGAAAATGCGGGTTTATGTATCTCTTTATAATGCCCTTTCTCCTAAGCCAGTTGTCGAATGCACTTGAAATTTCATATTTACGTATTTCATTTATTCCAGATTACGAATATAAAACTAATTCTAAATCACCGATGAGGCCGATCATGACCCTTAACGCCCCTAGTCCTTTAGCATTGTCTGATAATGTTCTTTAATACACACATATGTCCCTAGACAACGGTATGGCTTTCTTATTATGTGTTAAAGGTTTTTTTCTAACGCCTTTTTATATCTACTCATATGCAGGTCCATTCAATAATCCTTCTGATTTAGTTTATTTTTACTGTCCTTGCAATGAAACTGCTTTCGTTTTCTGATAATCAAACAGACTTTCATTACAAACAATATTCCTTGATGAAAAAGGTTGTTTAAAAACTTTTTAATGGAATATATTCCTGGATTGTATATATTATTTATGTAATGAAAAAACAATTCTGAATAATAGGTAATGTCTAATCTTTTTATGGAAAATGTGAAAATGGGAACAGTGATTAGGAAAGAAATTTATCTTACCAGATAAACAATCTTTGGTGCAATCATTGCTCCCACACGTGAAATAGAATTATGAAGTCCAAATCCGATGTTCCTAAAACAAAAGAAAACTGTAGCCTATCAAAATCAATATTAAGAAGATATGCAGTGCCTTCCCGTTCATTCATGTGGTATCTTATTACATGTTTCGTAAACATGAAAATGTCAGAAACTCAGGGGTTGATTCGGCACTTATTCCTCAGCTGTATTTGTATAAAGCAGCATGTATTAAGTTTTTAAATCATAACACAATTTATTATCAAATTACAAAAAGCATATGAAGTAAAATGTTTAAATATTAGATAAACTTTATCTTCATCACATCATTTTCGTTTCTATCAATTACCGGATATTGTTTGAAAAAAATGTATTGTACGGAGAAAACTTAAAATAGGCTTTAAGTCGTGATTTTCAATAAAATTTGTTGAAATTGAAAAACATTAAAACAACATTAAAATAACTGTAGTGGGGAGTTTTATAAGTGGTTTCTTAACACATGTCTCTTAATACATGTGATCTCTGTAGTAGGTTTTTCTGTAAATATCAAAAGAACGGACATGCAAGCGAAGCATAAATAATATTGAATAGAAGAAAAAAAAGTTTTTGTTTATCACATTGAATGGTTCCATTTCATAGTTACAGGTTTTGACAGTGGTAAAGAGATCCTTATCTTGCCTATAAATGGCCGTGAAGAATAAAAATTGTGATGGAACTACTAACCTTACAACAGTGGGGTAGGTTTCTGTAGTCAGTAACATAAGGGAGGCCCAACCTGATGCAACACATAGCTTAGCCGCCAACGCAAATCCATTGATCAGTTGGTCTTTTATATCCAGGTCTGCAAACAAAAACAGCGGTTATATGATTAGATAGATGACACAAGGCAATGAGGTTCTGTCGAACTCAGAGGAAATATCATATGAATTTTAAACGAAAGAGATATCCTTTTCATATCATTGCCAAGAATGTTTTCGATTTTTTTTATCTGATCTCCAGGTCTGTGACGTCAACACTTTCCAATGTGACATCATCTCACTGACTTGACGCAATGTCTACTATGTCACTTGTTTTCAATGTGACATCACAATGACCAGACTTCGTGTTAAATGTTGTTATAAATAATGTGTAGTTACCACTAATCTCTGCAGCTGCCACAACCAAACCGGACAGTCCTCCTAGTAGTAATAACCCCGATGTCGTTCTTTTGCGACCAAACCTGTGTAAATAAATAGACTCATCTAACGACAATCCCAGGCAACTCCCTTTTACGACCGAACTTGCGAACGTAATTAACTCGTCTAAAGATAATAAATTACTTATCTTAATGATCCCTGTCCACTGCACTCCATTTTTCGTATACAAAGTAACATCTTCCTAAGTTCGTTATTAGATACAACTGCACATGTAGCTCAGTCGGGCCAAGACAGTTCAGTTGATCAGCTAGCTCAGTCATTAGAACGACAAGATACAAATCTATATTCCAGTGTTCGAACCATGGTCTATCCCCGCTGAATATTTTTCATCTTTATTTAAAAGCCCCGAAGAGTATAATTTTCCTTTCAGAAAAGGTTTATCAACGCTTTTATCATACCAAATAAACAGTTTCCAATGAGTAGTTACAGATCCTGACAGTGGTACAGGGATTCTTAAGTCAACTCGGGAGAAATTTTTTGAAGATCAAATAAGCCAATATAATAAAGCTCATTTAAAGATTATCCAAGGAAAGCTTTTTTTTATTGACCAGACTAGGGTAGGAGGCACGAAACTTACCTAAAAATATCCAAATGTATTCTTTTGACGATTAACATACTTTCCTAATAACTCGTCTTGAGACAAATACAAGGTAATCTGAATCCACTCTACACCAAAATAGTAGATACCATACCATGCATAGCTGGTATCATTAATTAAGGTCCATTGCAATAATTATTTTGAACTTTTCAAGCATGTAATAATTTACGTCCATATCTAAAAATTAATTTTCATTTTGAAAATGCAAGATTTGTTAGTGTAGAACTACCTTCCTACGCAGAAAGACATTGTCCCCAAAATTATGGAATTTCTCACTCCTGTGGACAAGCTTGTAACGCAGGTCGCAGTTTAAATTGACAGAATGAACATGATTATCATGGGTTTATAGGTAGGTATGAACATACGAAACCAATCATGTAGACATTGTATCTATTGAATGTAGAAGATATATTACTTGTTTGTTAAAAAGTAATTTGACATCTGAGCCGGAACTTCTACTGCACTGAGCAGGAACATATTCAGGTATAAATTGCCGGACAGACTTTGTACTCCAAACGATATGGCGTAGTAACCATACCCACACGAGAACCTAGGTAAAGGAAATTGCCGAAATTAATTCAGATGTTTATTTCCAATATAAATGCCCATAAATATAATTACTAATTTCATACCTTTTTCATAAGAAATCAATAAAAGTCAATAAATAATTTATTTTTTCTCTAAAAGCGTATTTTTTGTTATGTATCATTTATGTATTATTTTTTCAACAAGACATGTTCTTTAACTATTTGATTACAGAGACATTTTTATGATGAGTGACAAAATAAATCAATTAAAAATATATAACTGATGCACATTGTCATACGCACCATCCAACGCCCAATAGAAGTGAATGTTTTAATAAGGTGCGGTCCATCACCAAATCTTTTATCGTGTATTTCTTTTCATCAGCATTCATGTCTTCCTCTGCCAGAAAGCGCAGCCGCTTTAGATCAGGAACAGGGCGGCCATTAAAACGCGCCATTCGCCGAATACAGTCCTCGGCCTCGTCTATACGGTTATGGGATACGAGATATCGGAAACTCTCTGGAATTACCCTACAACAATACAAACATTATTGTTTAGAATATAACACATGGAAATGTTTGATTTTCCATGTCAGTATAAGCGAGAATCAAGAAATAGCATCAGATAGAAAATGAATTAATATTTTCTTCAACTGTCAATAAATATGAATTGTGTGTTTTTATACTCAACGTAATCAATAATCAAAATTTTTTAAGAAAATTTAAAACAACGACCATACATTTCCAGGAAAACAAACTGCATAAAGTCAACAAATATCACTTATGCACATTGTAAGGATATACGATACTAAATGATTTATTACACTCCTTTTATTTATATTTTACATGGTATATGAATCCATTACCTTGTCTTAATTTCTTTTCATACCCCCCCCCCCCCGAAAAAACCCACCCAACACCCCCGCATAATTTTCTATAGCACTGATTATTTTTTACAAAAAGGGATAAACGTTCAGTAAATATAGAAATAACTCCACACATAACCCCTATATGATAATATTCATATATGCCGTCATTAAAATAATAATATCAATTCGTCCCAATGGTGAAAAACTGTTTTAACGTAAATTTTCTTTTAACATTACAAACCTCAATACATTGATAGTACGCCAAACCCTGATTTGCTCTGATTACAGGTAGTGAGAAATTTAAAGCCACAGTATTGGGCAAATTGTCAATGAGAAATGTTATAATACAAACCACCAGGTAAGCAGCCATGGTGCTGTAAGAATAGCTGTAGCGAAATGGAGGTACTTCCAGTCATGAAGCCACATTGAAACAAATCCAAATACGCATGCGCAGAGAGCCCACGACGGGATTGCTACAACCATCGGACGAAACTTGGCGGGAGTAAATTCAATCAGGAAATTGTAAAACACTGTCAAATAGCAGCCTATACCGAATCCAAGAAAGAAACGGAGGATGGCGAACATTTCCCAGGAAACAGAAAACCCCTCACAAACGTTTAAAATTATCATTATCACTAGAGATAAAAAGAAGGTTGGTTTTCGGCCAATGATATCAGCCATATGACCAGCGGTCACCCCACTGATCAGCAGTCCGGCCATCTGTATCGTGATGATGGTCGAGGTAATTGAGTCTTTGTCGCATACCAATGTCCACTGCAGGGAATAAAAAAGAATAACGGGATACTTATTAAAACTAAAGAAAATAATTTTCATATATCAGTATCTAAAGTACTATTTCGCTTGTGTGATTAAGGAATAAATAGTCAATATTCATTTCATAAACCAAAGCGTATGTAATGCTATCCTTTAAACTTCACTGGGAAATATGAACAAACTGGTATTGGTACTACTGCATTCGTACAAAAACATCTATGTATGTCTTCTAAATATAAGCGTACAATGTTAACAACGATGATGTGAAGGAAAGTGACTGTTAAAGAAGATCTATCAATAGAGAATGATTCAATCTTAATAACGATGTTTAGATATTTCCTGGAATGATTCTGCTATGACAGCAGTTACCCAGCTGTGGAGCTTTACTATTACATGTATATCTGAATGTTGATTTCGGGAGGAGAGTAGTGAAGGTAAAACAAAACGATAGTCTCTGTGTATTATGTGAAGATTAAAGCAGAACTATTTTTCTCCTTATTTAATATTCCATATATACAATGAGCAACATAACGTTACAAATAGTATAGATATTTCATTATAAGCTTATATCATTAAGTATTTAACACTTATAACTGTACGTACATTATCTTTGCCTTTTTTTCAACTAGATATACTAAATTAAATATTTATAGAATGAGAGAAAAGGGACTTAGTATACGTATACATAATTTACATAGTATGTGGCAGAAGGAGAGCCCTCTTGAATGAGGACACTTAATTGTAAGGAAGCTGGCCCCTGGGCTCCCCAACCCCGCTAACCTTCTAACATATTTGATGGTGGAATACAACTTATATCTATTACTTCAGAAGTAAGCAATGTCTGCGTACATGACATATTTCAAGCCACAACTAAAACAATATATGTCTACCTATATTACAGGTACACCTCTTCAAGTAAATTACATTATTTTACGTAGTTTTCATACTGTTTGTTGTATAATGCTTAATAATTCGCATGAAAACGTATACTCACCTCATTCACCACAGTATTCATGTTGTCTTCGAAACGAAATTCCATACATTTGTCTGCAGTAGCATTTGCTGGCGGTTGACATTGCTGAAAAGAACTGTTCAAGAAGTCTGCGTCGTTCAACGAAGTCCTGAATACACTTGATATATTCGCAAAAGTCCTGTTTGAGGTCTCATACATGCAATACCAATCGGGAACTGCTCCAGCAAATGTCATCATCAACATGCTCCACGTTGGGCTCAACTTGCTTATCATAACGACGGAAAAAAGCATGAATTGGAATTTTGAAAATCCACCGCATTCGTCGATGAGACCTTCCAGATAAGCACTTGTTGATGACATTGTTTCCTACGAGAAAGAAATAATAAGAGATTAATCGAGTTAAGTCAAAGTTCCAAAGACGCATGTTGTTATGTTATGCATGTGTTACGGTCGCCATCATGTTCTTGCAGATTACATTGGAATATGCTATTTTTGTGTGAAACTACATGAGGTCTCGAGATGACCTTTTACATGGCGGGTGTTGTCGACGAAGCAGAAGACGGCTTACCCTTCCGGAACACATGATCTTATTATCATTGTACATTTTCAAGGGTCTCCATGTAAAAATTTCCCTTGATTATATTTTGACAAAGTTTGGTCGATTTTGAACTGATTTGTGGTTTTGTTTTAAGTTTTACAATATCATTTAAAAAAAAAAATATTAGTATATGTTAAATGTGTCTACTATAAATGCATTTAAATGACTATATATCATATATATCAATATGCAGAAATCGACATACTACCTTCTGAGTACTACCATATGATACAGAGCACCTATGTACAAATAAAGAAAGTGGGCAATACTCAAAATGCCCAACTCTTCTAGTTTCATAAGTGAAATTCTATGTTACGTAACACTAGCAAATTCTATGTTAAGTAACACTAACACTGACCTCTGAACGGTCACGCCTATATCTGAAATTGACCTAGGTAAATGTATGTCCAAGCAAACAAGCATGTGGAATTCCATCACTAAAGTGATCACAAGAAGGAGGACGGTGATATTCTATTTTTACTTACAATGACCTTGACCTTTGACCGATCATGCTCGTATTTGAACTAAACGTATAATGTACCTGTAAAGTTTCATAACCGCTAGTGTGCCGACACTAGCGTTGCAAAGAGGGGTTTATGATAAAAACACTAAAATAAATTTCGTTATATATATTGTTTCATGAACTTACAAGATAAAATCGTTACAAACGTGTAAGCAAATGGTATTTCCACAATTATAATTTCTCACAATATTCGTGAATTTGAAGTCCAGCGTGAAAAAAAAGTATTTAAAAAAAATATTAAGCACTTTTAAAAGCATTAAAGTGGGCGGAACAGACCAAACGCTTCGAATGATAGTGATAAGTGCACATAGTAAATAGTTACAATGTACGTCAATGTTAAGTAACAGAGCACGATATCACTTCTAAACATCTAAACAAAAAGTAATATATCTAAAGGCAACAGGAATAAGCACATTTTTTTCCCCAGGCACAAGCATTATATATAATGTATCTCAAATAGCACCTTTTTGATTAGTCGACTCATGACGGCAACTAAGCAAGTGCACATTGTCAAAATGATTACATAAAATAACTGCCATAAACGTATAAAATCTGTTTTTGTCTTTTAAAAGTGATTATAAGGAATGACCAATAACCGTCTTTGCTGACGTAAAGTAATAAGAAAAACTTAGATTACATTTCCGGCATTAACAGCTACCGGATTAAAGCTCAACAAAATGATCGCAGTAGTTATTTTTTCACATAACCATTCCTTATATAAACCTGTACGTACTGTTCTATGTGGCCTCCACTGACATAAATTAGTGATAAAATCCTAAAAGCAGTCTTTTTATGTATACTTATATTATAATGGGAAAAGAATATTTAATACATCAATGAAATTCATCATTTGTTTTGATTGAAAATATTGGTTTAAACCTATCAAATTGTCGTATTTATACCATATAACATTAACAAATAATTTAAATGTGAAAGTATTTATAATTTGTACTTACGCAGATGTTCCAAAGTAACAGCTTCTTTTCACTTGTTTATGAAAATTGCAGCTGCGCCTGTTGATCTTTGACGTTTACGCACATGTACCACCCAAATACCTCTATATAATCTGTGTACGATCTGGACGTAAGCTGGCAGTATTAGAGATGATGGCATCTGACCGATAGATATCTGATTTGTATACCCATGCACGACCTTTTAACCAAATCATGAGACGGGTTACAAAACTATTTGTTTTACTAACAGTATGTGTTCCTGATTAAATTTGCACAGCATGTTTATTATATTTGTGAACCACATCGGTTGAATACCGAATAAAATACCTCCTTACTAAGGACATTTCCTATGGTTAAGTAACTATGATTTTAAATAGTAATGACTAGATACTTAAGGGCATACCCTCCATTTACATGTATACAAAATTAAACTAATTTGGCCAAAGATGCTCTAGAACAAGTTTGGTTAAAATCCCTTCGTCAGTACAAAAGGAGAAGGATCTTTAATGTTTTTCACTATTTCCCCTAATGGTCCCACCCATCTGCAACAAAGAAGGGGGCCTACACACCTTAGTTGATACAAAATTGATTCGTTTGTCAATTAGCATGCTTCAGACTGCATATGGTTAAAATCTCTTCACTTATATAGTACGAGAAAAATGTTCCTCTATTTCCCCTATTTTGTCCCGCCCCTCTGCCCCCAGTGGGCCACATACTCCGTTTATACGAATTTGAGGCCCCTTTGTCCAAAGATGCTTTAGAACAAATTTGTTCAAAATCCTTTTATTGGTCGAGAAGATTTTTGAAGATTTACCTATTTTCCCCCTATTTGACCCCGACCCCAGGGGGGATCCTACCCTCCGTTTATACAAAACTAAGAACTCTTTAGTCAATGATGCTCCAGACCAAATTTGGTCAAAATCCTCTTAGTCGTTAAAGACAAGTAGCATTTTAAAGGAAAATGTTGGCGGACGACGGACGCTGCGCCATGGCATATGCTTACTTTGGGCCAGGTGAGCTAAAAATAACACCATGTCAAGACCTCAATCTTACAATAAAATATATAAAACACACGTTATATAAATTACAATAAAGTTTTATTGACGTTACATCGATAACAAAATCCCATTAAACAATAGATAAAAAGCAGTATCACAGATTTCTAAGAAAATCGATTAAACAATAAATAAACACAACTTCAAAAGGGCAAATCACTACAAGGTAAAATAACAATGGAATGCGTATGGATGGGTAAAACAATCACAAAAATACCCAGTGGTTCAAAGCTTGATTAAATTAAAACCAATTTAACGCAAAAATAGATTTGTTCTAGAATATATTATGGAATCATGTACTTCTGCAGGCGAAACAAAAGAGAATTTCAATGTTTAGGTATTCAAAAATGATAGTCAAAGACAAAAACGATATGCATATTAACGATTTTTCAGAAAATTGTCAAAATTGCATTTAGAAAAAATTGTGTTTACGACTTAAGGCTAAATAGACTCTGAACGGCCATGCTCGAACAAACAGTAAACATGCAGTTGACAAATAGTTGCTACTTAGACACTCGTAAAGACTATAGAATACACACAACGAAGCTGAACACGACTAAAATGACAACAACAAACAAAATTAGAGTGATTCATCACAGAGACTGATGCTCTCGATGGTTTTTTCGTTGTATGAGTTTTAAATTAATTCTAGACATATACTACACAGTGAAACATCAGACTGTCCTGTCCACGTAACCAAGATATTTAAGTCATTCACTCTGAAATTCCATAATGAACTATTTCAACCTTTGAATTGGAAGAGTTCAAATGTGTCTTCAGGGGTGAATGAGTTATCAAAGTGTTGTTAGGCTCAATTCAAGTCTATTACAAAACTGTTCGATTTTTTTTCTTCAATAACACTTAACAGGAGGAACCCACACATACATTCTTCAATGTTCTATATTTTTATCTCCGGTTTATACTCTTTGAAAAGAGTATTGTTTTCTCATTTTCTCATCCAGAAACAGTTGTATTGACGTCTTGAAACCAACATCACTTAGAACAAATCAGCCAATGTAAGTACATGTACATTAAAAAAACCCACATTTGTTTACTTGTCCACACCAAACCAAAACACCAGACCATCATATAACAGGTGTTAACAGCTTTAGAATAAAAGAAATCTTCTACTCCTAAAGAAAATTATAAAACAAAAAGTACTAATACTAATATAGGCTAACTATTCACCACAACAGGTAATTTACATAGAAAGGCCAGACACATGATGGCAGGACAATTTTTACGAGTTCCTCAAAGATACAAAGACGTTTGTAGTCTAAGTGTTAGGTGGTCTGTACGATGTGAATGCCCTTAGATAAATAAACACTTGTGCGTGTTGCTACGTGTGTCTCATTAGGTAAATTTATTCTAAAAGTAAACAAAAATACGTAATTTATCAGGGGACAGTGAACTTTATATCAGAGAGGGTCAGAGAGACATTCTGTAAATTGTGTTGACCATACATGTAACATTCCTCTCACACCAATGTTGTGGTGGCCTCTAGAATATGTTTGCTGTAGTGTGGAGGGTTAATCCACGTTAGAGATTTTACAATCGGACAGAAACATTCAGAAATTCCGTTCCAGCCATGGTGACGACCCTCTACTCACCCACCCGTCTCATGAAGTGAGAACGGCGTCCAGTCATAGTATAGTGACTGCAGACAATAACCGTGACGTTCTTAAGGCTGTATATACACTTTATACTTATAAATAATGTTAGCGTTGCTGCAATATACACTTTATGCTTATAAATAATGCTAGCGTTGCTGTATATACACTTTATACTTATAAATAATGCTAGCGTTGCTGTATATACATTTTATACTTATAAATAATGCTAGCGTTGCTGTATATACACTTTATACTTATAAATAATGTTAGCGTTGCTGTATATACATTTTATACTTATAAATAATGTTAGCATTGCTGTATATACACTTTATACCTATAAATAATGTTAGCGTTGCTGTTTATACCCTTTATACTTATAAATAATGCTAGCGTTGCTGTATACACTTTATACTTATAAATAATATTAGCGTTGCTGTTTATACACTTTATACTTATAAATAATGCTAGCGTTGCTGTATATACACTTTATACTTATAAATAATGCTAGCGTTGCTGTATATACACTTTATACTTATAAATAATGCTAGCGTTGCTGTATATACACTTTATACTTATAAATAATGTTAGCATTGCTGTATATACACTTTATACCTATAAATACTGTTAGCGTTGCTGTATATACATTTTATACTTATAAATTGTTCTGCAAAATGGTTTCTCATCATGAATATCTTACTTATTCAAATGCCAAATTTGCTTCCAAAACAAATTGAACGGAACAATAAAAAGGAAACATTAATGATATCAAATTCTAGTAAGGTTGACAGAGTAACCATCAAATAAAATAACACCAAAATGTTCAGACCCATTCTTAATTTAGACCATTGAATTTGTGAGTGGATATGAAATCCCAGCCAAGACATTGTTCTATCAACTACTGTTAAACAACATCTCTGCAATATGTAACCTTGAAGTTGTTTTGTTAAGACCACTAAGCCGTCTGTATCACTATAATATTTACCAGGTACCATGCATATAATAACAAATACTTTGACAGATCAAATGTAATTTTCTGAATGAGTTTTAACTTTTCAGTCAAGGCTGAAAAAGAAATTAGGGCAAACATTTCCATTTTTCGTTTTTACAGTTATAGAAACAACAATAAAATTTATATTCTTAAAAATTGTACTTTCCTCCCACCCATCTGTTTTTAGATTTCAGTTTTTGTTAATGTGTACTCTGACATTTCTATGAGAAAGAGGCCCACAGGGCCCCAACTGTCACCTGAGTTAAGGACAGCATCAGAAATAGCCAGAAGTTGGTTCACTGTTACGTCATTTAGCAATTGAATTAAAAAAAGTCACAAGTCTTAGCAAATTAACAGTATATTGGTATGAGCAATGAAGGTGCTGAGATTTTCGCTTGTTATAATGATGTCAACAATAAAAGAGGACATGGAAAATGAACATTTTAGTTGTCCAAAGAAAGAAAAATAGAAATCAGATTAAAGTAAGGACCTCATCAGCTAAGGCTTCTTTTAAGAAAAACGTTGATGAAAATCCACCTGTCCGTTTCAGAGGAAAAGTCTTTTGAACATTTTGCACTCTGACTTCTTATGGTCCTGTGCCTAAGTCCCCAGGGTGGTCAGTCCCTTCTGGAGCATATATTCTGATCCCAACCTCAGGCTGATGATAACAAACAAGTTTCATAAAAATTTGACAGTTCGGTTCTTAGAAAAAGTAGAAAATTTGAGTGTTTACATGCGACGGATGACACACCACAGATGGGTGCCTCAGGTGACCTAAATTTTTGTTTGTTTGTGTTTTATGTCCTATTAACATCTTTGGTCATTTAAGAAAAACCACCGACCTACGACCAGTACCTGGCGACTGCCCCACATAGGTCTCAAACTCTGAACCCAATGGTAGAGGGCTAGCAGTAGCAGAATGTCAGACGCCTTAACCACTTGGCCCCAGTGGCCCTAAACATTATATCAAATGCCATGTAAATACTTGCAAATATCTCAAAATTCTGTTTAAACAGAAATAGAACATTCACCATCACAAGTTACAATTTAAATATAAAATTTGAATAACAGTATATTTAACTATTTTAACAAGTGAGACCTTATAACAGTTACATGCTTATAAGTGTATTTAACAACATAACAAAACACAACATCAACAAACATTTCTTCATTAAAACCTAAATATAACAATGTATAACCTGTTAGCCTGTAACTTGTCCATTCTTTTTTTTTCAAAATGTTATCAGTCTTCGTTCCTAGACAAGTTCAAATTTCACTTATTTCAATAGTTTTCCTTGTTATCTGGCAAAATTGTGGATTTTTCTTCATTCTTTTTTCTTGAAAAATGCTGAATTCTCTTAATTTCCCATATAAATCCTTGTCATAAAGCATTAACTAGGAATATCAAGCAATTAAATTGTGCTTTTTGATAAGATTTTTTTTTTTTTTTCAAAGATTTTAGCATTTTTGTTAATAAAATTGGGAAGAAAAAATGCTTAAATCTTATTGATAAAGGGGACAAAAAAGTTTTTTTTGTGTTTACTCTTCTACTGTTTTATTTGAAAGGTAATCATTTAGTTGTTACATGTACCTATCAGACATTCCTCAATTCAACAAAAAAAGTATTATACAAGAAAACTACTAGACACTCACATCTTTAAGAATTTAACTACCTGTACATTTGTTAGTTCATACCTGTTGTAAACAAACCTGAAATCACATGAACGACTATAGCAACTTCTCTCAGCAACAATAAATAAAATAGTGTTGAAGCGTTCAACAGATTCTAAAGTATTTAGGTTTCAACAAAATTTCATTGGCAGGTAGGAGTGGCGTGGACGGACTGGTTAAGACATTTATATTTACTAATTTAATGCTGACAATACATGCAATTTTGGCATGATGCAAATACAGTATAAAATTGGACTCCCATCTACAATTAGTATTTTACATAATACAATAGTTACATTTCTCATAAGAGCTATTTCACAGGAAATATATCGCAATCTCATCCCTCAATTTAAGGATCCCTGTCCCACTGCAGACAAAACACTAGAGAGTTCCACTGCAGTTGTTCATGCCTACATGAAAAATTACCTCCCCTTGATTTCGTTTTAAATACTGAATTACATTAGTGGAACTGGTCGTAGGAACGAGTGCTGATCAAGAAATTCACATGGTTAAAGCAACCGTATTGAGATCAGAGGTCTAGGGTTCGAACCATCTGGCCCCCTTACATTTGTGGTACTTTCAGGACAATGTTGTTGATTTTTTTTAGTATTTTATTTTATCAGTCTTACATTGACGTTCTGCAAGGTTTGGATTTCATTTCAGAAATGACTGATAAAAGTTTTTATCTTACGGGTAAACAAGTTTCCAATTCACGGTTATAGTTTTTTGGCAATGGTACGGAGATCCTTAAGAAATTATTAGCTATTGTGAATGTATTTGATGGAATACATCTCAAGGATGAGCATATTTGTACAGTAACATGATTGTAATTGAAATTTGCAATTATTTAGAGAAAGAGCACTACGAATTTGCTGTCGCTAATATAAATAAATAAATGAAAAAAACGCATTTCAAAAACAATCTATATGTTGGGTGCAAATTTTGAAGAAAAAAAATTGCTGAATACCAACCACATCTAAAAAATCAAAGCTTTAGGGAATCAAAATTTGATTTCTTTTTATATTTATATATAGGTATTAATTCATATCTAAAATAATAAATATTTTTTTCATTTCCAAAATAAACTAGATGTAACTGGAAGGGGGTCTTCGTGAATACCCCAGCTTTGATTGATCAGAAATTGGTGGGAGTGATGGGCATGTGGATTGGAATAATCAAGTGAAGAGTTAATATGCTTCAAGTCTCACGTTACGTAGGTCAGAGGTCACGGTAGAGGTCACAGTGATCTACATATGGTATGCGACACACCGCCTTCCATGCATGTACCCACAAACCAAGATTCATAACCGTAGGTGAAATAGTACGGGAGATATGCTCCGGAAACCTTACTGACGACATTATGTAGGTCAGAGGTCACATTAGAGGTCACAGTGACCTACATATGGTACGTGACACACCACCTTCTATGCATGTACCCACAAACCAAGATTCATAACCATAGATGAAATAGTACGGGAGATATGCTCCGGAATCCTTTCAGACGGACGGATGGACGCACGGATGGACGGACGAAGCAAACACTATATACCCCCGACTTCGCCGAAGCTGGGGTATAATAAATATGCATTCAATTTTAGATACTTAATAAAAAATATATATAGAAGATAACTATCACATTCATAATTGAATTATTATAAAAACATAATTTGAAAAATATAGTTAATAATCTACCATCTAAATATATTTTCATGGTATTTTTACAGTTAGACTTGCCAACAGATTTCATTAGTCTGAACAAAAGAACAGTCAAATTTGTATTGAGAGGCTATCCTTGGGATATCCAAAAAGTGGTCTTTCAACAGACGTGGCCTTTTAATACAGGTTAAGTTCATGATGACATCACAACGATGGGAGCATATTTTAGCGGTCTTTTATCACAGGTGGTCTCTTTACAGAGGTAATATATATAGATATAGTCATATAAACATGTTTGACAGTATAATCTTTATTTATATAAGGTTTTATTTTTCATGGTTTAGCTTTGCACGATAAGTGCTATTTCTTATTAAACATAATTGTAATATGAAAAGCTGTAATTAAGAGTTAACTCCCTTCTCTGACCATGTTACTGCTCTGTTTCCTCTTTTGGAGTTGGTTTGTCGCTTTCTGGCTCTTTTGGTTTCTTTGTTGGCAGTTCCTGTAGTCTTTTGGACTTGCTTTTGTCGCCAGTGTGTAGACCTGTCAACCAAGTTTCGTTCATTATTACAATGCTATGTCGGTACAAAAACATATCAAACAGGTTTAATAGGATAGAAAAATGCAAGGGGCAACAATGACATTTTAATGATGCACCTCCAATGGCAAGGACCGAAGGACGAATGAAAGGACAAACAAACTTTGACGATGATGATAATGATAATGATGATAATGATGGTGATGATGAAGATGACGATGATGATGATAATGATGAATATGATGATGATGATGATGATAATGATGATGATAATGATGATGATGATAATGATGATGATGATGATAATAATGATGATAATGATGATGATGGTGATGATGATGATGATGATGATGATAATGATGATGATGATGATAATGATAATGATGATGATGATGATGATGATGATGATAATGATGATAATGATGATAATGATGATAATGATGATGATGATGATGATGATGATGATGATGATGATGATGATGATGATGAGGATGATGATGGATCTGTTGGTGTGTATGTTTGTGTTCATTGAATATGTGCTTATGTTGTGTTTATATTTGATGTAAAATCTCTAAAAAATAACAATTACAAAAACAGGTATCTTCCCATGAATACTTCACTATACACAACCTATATGTTAAATGTATCCCCTTGCCAATAAGGACACAGACACAGCAGTGCTTGTAAGGGTCATATCTGTGACACAAGTGCAGAATACCATAAACTTGTATTGTGATAATAGCAAGTTTCATATACCCAGAACTGATTTAAATCAAACTATGATAAAACTTTCTTCAGTTTGAGATTATTTTAAACAAAATTAGATTGCCATAGCCCAAATTAATGCTGTAAAAAGCCCTTAAACTTCAAAAAAAAAAAAAAATATTCTTTCAGCTCTTTTTCTCCTAAGAGATATGAAGCGTTAAATGTTTCCCATTCCCATTGAACAGTTCCATGTGCAATTAATTGGTATATATGAATGGCTTGTTACTAAAGTAACAAATTATTTTTATGATTTTTGTTGGGGGGAACAGTCAAAACTATTTGAGTCAATTGTTGAAGGGAAAGAACCAGAGAAATGTTGACACTGGTCGTTATTTTTTTTTACTCTTCTCAAACCAGTCACGAAACAACAAACCTTCTTTCTTGTAGAAGTCGACGTATGTCTTGGCGTGAAGGATAGATCCGACATGTCGGGTATAGTTGTGTAGATATCCTGAATCAAGACCCCTGTTTACGTGGTCCTGTTCAGAACTCGGCCGAAAGTGGTGTATCGTCTGAAGATGTTCCATATTATATTTGTCCTACAAAAGCAGAAAAAGAATCTCATGATTACAACAACATAAAACATAAAAACTTAGTTTATTAAACAACAATTATGAAACAATTTATTTCCACCTGTATTAATCACTCTTGTCGGCCTGCAATGTTAGTGTGTGGAGGCCAGAGGGTCTGACCATTAGACTCTCGGGCCTCCACATGCTAACTAAACTCTTAATGTGGGAGGAAACTTGAGTAGCTGGAGAAAAAACCCATGTGGTCAGGGGAGGTGACTCCATACCTTTTCATGTCTGATCAGGGAACTGAATCCAAACCATCTTGGTGAGAGGCGAGTGGGTTTTCCACTGCGATACCCAACATACATCATGAACTTATTCCTCTATATATTATACAGTGGAAGTTTGCTTAATATCTGTTGCTTAATGACACACTTTTTTGATATCATGTTTCCTTCAACCATTTTTTTTTTACTTTCTATATTTCTAAGAAGTTAATCTATTATATATGTAATTTGAGAAGTAGTCCTTTCCCTTATGGAAAAAACTTACAGGCGGCTGACTCTAAAGAATTATAAATGAATTATATGTGGTTTATATATCCTAATCTATTCAATCTAATGTTTCAATTTTTTCATCCTTGAAAAAAATTGAGTCTTGTTTCACTAAAAAGCATATTCTTCTTTTGTAAAACTGTCATTGCTTTGATATGTAATAATATTTACTAAATTAAAAATTAACAAATCATTTCTCCCATTGATTTGTTTTCCCCACATTGGTTTGTTAATTCGATAACTGCTCTGCATATAGAAAGTACTTGTGTCAGACCATGAACCCGAATATAAACATTCCACTTTGCGTGAATATTCAAAAATTCAGTATGTCTTTAGGTCGGTCAGGTAGCACAGATGATAGCGCACTTGCCTTTCACCAAGGCGACTGGGATTTGATTCCCCGATCGAACATGATAAAAGGTATGGGGTCACCAGTGCCCGACCACACAGGTTTTCTCCGGGTACTCTGGTTTCCTCCCACATTAACACCCCCACACACACTTACATCCGGGCCAACAAGAGTGATTGATATAAGTTGAAATAACTTCTTATATAATTGTTGTAAAATAAATAAAGTTTAAATGTCTCAAATAACAGATTCAATTGTCAAATCAGTTACAGAAATACATACATAGACCTCATTGGCATATTTGGTGATCCTGTCCGCTTCCCTGTACAGCGTTACTCTACGAGTGGTGTCCTCTAGATGGGGGTATATCATGTTCTCAAACTCCTCTGACACATCCGCCCCTCTAGGTTCACTCTTGCCCCCTTCAGAAGACTCTCGCTTTTTATGTTTGTCTTTTTCGGTCTTGTGGTCATATTCCACTGGCGTTTCACTGTAAACGAAAAGAAATAGTGTTCGTGTGGATGTGTCCATATCACACACTGTCTTGTAGACTTAGATTACCGTAAAAACCCATGTAATTTGCGCACTTTTTTTTCAGAAATTTAATACCCAAAGTAGGGGGTGCGTAAAATACACAGGTATAGAAAAATTCAAGTTTTTTTCAGGAAAAGATCGACGATTCTGAGAGATCGCCATCTTGGATTATGTCCCTTGGTACACGGAACTCTAAGACAAATGACGATCAACAAATTTATTTATGTCAAACATTAATAAAAGATACATAATGCAGGGGTTTGACAGCTATTTTGGGAAATTGACCCTGAGCAGGAAATGGGGAAAAATATCATCAGCATTTGGCGAAAATTGGGAAATATCATCAGTGTTCCCACATGTACGTACTAGTTTGGGATAATATTTTTATAAGTTTGAAAAAATAAAACCTGCAATGTGATTAACAAGACGTTTTCCTCTAGCTGTTTCTTACAGTAAAATGTATCGCAATAGATAAACACATTAATTTTCAGTACTTTTGTTTATTCAATTTCAAGTTTTTGTTATTTATGTATTCCTTAATACTTTGAATGTTGCACATATAACATCTGAAAACTTGTATAAACATCCAATTAGAAAAATAAAGACTGAAATTGGGAAAATGCAGGGTCATTTTTCAATTGGGAATGGGTCCCTGTTCTGGATCCTATAGGCAAAACCCCAGACATACTGATATTCTTCTACAAAGTATTTGTGCTGGTTAAGATGAGTTCTTGTATATATTACACATACATGCCTTTCTTGATATTAACCTTTAAATATGTATGTGTTTATAGTAAAAGTATAATGGTATGTTATTATGAAGCAAAGCTCATTGTGTTTTGATGTATTTCAGGTTCTCATCCTGATGGCTGGCTGTAAGCTAATCAGCTGTAAATATATAGACCTACGTTTCAATTCAAGGATTTCAGGGTTTTACCTTTCTGGATGTGTAAAACAAACAGTGAGCAGATGTCTCTGCATAGCTGTCAACCCTCCCTCATTAGGAGGGAGACTCCTTTTCATCTCATTTGAAACTCCCTCATTCAAATCCAAACTCACACAAACTCAAAATCTACATCCTGTGGTCAAATGATCTCCAAGCTACTGCAGGGTGTGTGTAATGATCATAACAGGTGTGTCTGAATCAAATGAACCCTTTTTGGAGTATATTGCAAAACTAAGGTTTTGGCCGGGGATGATACAAAATAGAAAAAAGGTTTCTGCAAAACTAAGGTTTTAGAGTAATTCAAAATGATAAAACAGGATGTTCGGATTTGCTTATTATAATTAAAATAGCATAAAATCCACTTACTGTTTCCCTTTCTTCTTCCTGTTTTTGTATCTAGGACTTTGTTTGTCAAATACGTCGTAGTTGATCACTTTGTACATCAGATCATACTTGTACTGCAGAAAGAAGATAATCATACATAATTAAAGTGACACTTCACAAGTAATGCTATTTCAGAAATATTCATGTTAACATTTTCACCAAAATGTGATTCAAACATTAGCCGCATATCATAAGAAGTGGTTGATCAGTGATTTTTTTTATTGGATATGCATGGTTATGCCAAATGCAACCTCTTATTTCCGAAGCACTGTGTCTTCGATGCAGTTTCCGCTGAAGCAGAACAAATTAGGCATGAACAACTCACTCGAGCAGTTCAAAACTTCGTGAAACCAATTTATACTCACAGTTCATAAAGTATATATATAAAACTAGAAAATGTCTGTAAGACATGAATGCCCCTGTAAGTCACCATGTGAAATTGGATTCAGTGTTTGATGTTCTATAAATAGTTACAACCTCTTTGATCACGGGACAGGAACGGGGCGGACATTGGCAACACTATATGCCCCTCCCCCCCCCATTTTATGGTAGGGGCATAAAAAAGGTACAGACAAAAAAATGTATCTTCACGGAAAATATCACAAAGAATATATGCTCATGTTCTCCTACCACATTGCTGACCATGCTTTCACAACAAGGATGCCTGAGTTGAAACAAAATACTTAATAGAACAAGAGGCCATGAGCCATGTAGTTCTCGGGGCATATAACTAGAGAGTGCTTGAAACTGCTTAATCCAGTTGTCAGGTTCCAATCCTGTCTTGGCAGGTCCGTTAACAAGAGACTGTTTGTCATTTCTGTTATATAATAAGACTCTAATCCAGGTAATAGCATTTCATTTCACATATTGATATGAATAACATTTTCGTTCCCCGATATTTCCATGATATTGCCCCAGGCTTACCATTGTAGGGCTTTCTTAAAAACCGGAAGTACAGTTTAAGAATTTGTTTACAAGGTTGCTGAAATAGCTAGGATGGCAGATATGGAAGTGAAGTATTTCTTGGTCAGAAGTTGATGGATAGTATGGATTTTCCTTTGCAACATCAGCTAGAAAATTGCTGTTTGAAGCTTAAGCCCTGAATGGATGTTTGTTTTTACTCAGGATGTATGGTTTGCACTGTCACTATAGTAAATAAAAAACTTACACGACACAAGCAGCCATATTTCTCTTAGAGGTCCTGTGTGGAGGGGTATTTCTCTTAGACTCACAGGTCCTGTGTGGAGGGGTATTTCTCTTAGACTCACAGGTCCTGTGTGGAGGGGTATTTCTCTTAGAGGTCCTGTGTGGAGGGGTATTTCTCTTAGAGGTCCTGTGTGGAGGGGTATTTCCCTTAGACTCACTGGTCCTGTATGGAGGGGTATCTCTCTTAGAGGTCCTGTGTGGAGGGGTATTTCTCTTAGACTCACAGGTCCTGTGTGGAGGGGTATCTCTCTTAGAGGTCCTGTGTGGAGGGGTATTTCTCTTAGAGGTCCTGTGTGGAGGGGTATTTCTCTTAGAGGTCCTGTGTGGAGGGGTAATTCCCTTAGACTTACTGGTCCTGTATGTATGGAGGGGTAACTCTCTTAGAGGTCCTGTGTGGAGGGGTATTTCCCTGAGACTCATTGGTCCTGTGTGGAAGGGTATTTCCCTTAAACTCACAGGTCCTGTGTGGAGGGGTATCTCTCTTAGAGGTCCTGTGTGGAGGGGTATTTCTCTTAGAGGCCCTCTGCGGGGGGTATTTCTCTTAGAGGCCCTGTGCGGAAGGGTATTTTTTCACAGCAATCTCTGCTTCACAATGACTTCAACTTGTGGTGCAGATGTGACTCAGCAGCATGCTTACATATTAGCATTCATGGCATACTTGCCCCCAACAAAAAGTCATTGATATCAATTCTAGCTTACCCTGACGGTGTGCTAACTTGCAGACCTGGTTCCCACTTCATGAAAAAAACATATAATCATGAATGTACCTGTTGTCATTATCTAAACAGGAACTACATGTTTAGCTGCTAATGCTGATAACCCACTCTCTCTCTCCTGCCCTTTGGCTGTGTGCTGTGGAGGCTGATATATCACTGTCAAGTTTTTAAATAAACTGCTGTATCCCGACCAAGCTTATCAGCTCACCCATTCAGTTTACAAAGTAAAGGTTACAATTTTAAGCTTGGTCAACTTAACCCATAGTAGATCTATATAATATATTAGTACCACCCGACATCTACTGCAAAAAAACTCAGTCCTTCAATCAATACAAATCAATCACAAATAATCAATGATTGTACAGCACATATTTATGTTTTCGGAGCTTAACAGTTAGCACCCCCACCAATCAAACTAGCAGACGACATATATGTTGTGACACATGTTGTGAATAGGCATTACTAAATATAGACTTTAAAACTTACTTTTTAAGAAAATCAAACAACAAACCTTCAATCAGGCATCACGATATACACCACAAATATATAGTTAGACCACAAATGCGATTACAAGCTAAACTTCGACACAATTTTAGATCCATGTCTATAGTCTCTGGGCTATAGCCCAGATAACTATATAAACAAAGGTTAAAAAGGTTTCAAATGGAATGAAATTATTCAAATTCAAGTCATCAGGATATTGTTCTGCTTGTTAACCCTTTCACCACTGTAGACCATAACGGATTCATCCATAGCAATGCATGGTAGAGTCTACTAAAGTTACATAGGGGTGAAAGAGTTAAACATAGCCTGTAATCCATTTTAGTATTAGCTATGAAATTAAGGGAAATTTCACTTTTCAGTTTGGACATGTTCTCTGCTTCACTTGGAAAGATGAAAACTCATTATTTATGTTTATGACCCAGAATTGTTCTGAGTTAAAAATGGATTTGTGGAAAGGAATATTTATTGGCAACTGTTGAACAAATTTGAACAAATGCAACTTGCAATTTTGTGAAAATCCAAACTTTGAAAAAATTTAGTGTCACCATCAAATCAAAAAAAAATCAGCCATGGGAAGTTAGAGATTACATGGTGCTAAGTGTCAAAAGTATCTTGCAGTGTTAAATCAGTCTGGCATTGTTGGAGTAATTTAATCTTTTGTTTTTGTTTTATTTATGTTTTACGTCCTTTAACAGCTATGGTCAATTAAGGACATGCCAGGTTTTGGTGGTGGAGGAAAGCCAGAAATACTGAGAAAAAAAACCCACCAACCTATAGCCAGTACCTGGCAACTGCCCCATGTAGGTCTCGAACCTGCAACCAAGTAGTGGAGGGCTAGTGTTAGCAGAATGTCAGACGCCTTCACCACTTGGCCACTGCGGCCTCCTTAGTTGGGAGTAATCACCGGTGTTGGACACACAAATAGTTATATGATATGTTTATACTATATAATACTGATAGTATATATATATATATTCACATCATATTACTATTAGTGTGTCCAGCACCTGTGGGAGTAATTAAAAGATGTCTTTTAAATTGTGTTTTCCTTTCATTGACACAACAATATGATCAAATGACTGATTTTAATAAATAAAAATAAATAAATATATATATAATTAATTACTGAATTATAACAATCATATAACTAATGAATATTATTTTCAAAAAGAAAACATAACAGTGTAGACAAGGATAAGGATATTTAATTCCTAAATCTGCTTCCCTTCATGCCACCTTCAACAGTTACCGTAAAAATAGCAAGGGCATTAAAAATAAGGGTGACAAGCAAATTCGAGGAATTTATATCCCCCGCTTGCAGGACGAATTGTAGGTTAACATGATTGAGGTTAGGTTTAAACATGTGAGTATCGTGCTGTTGAGACATTATGTATAGCTTGAAACTTGAAGGGAAAAAAAGCCCTATACCTGATTGATTATCCGTAAATATGCACAAATCGGTTGGCAAACTTAGCACGAGTCGAATGTGCATACAGAATTTGGTTGAAACAACTGAACAATATCTACACCAATTATCACACGAAAACTAAAGAGTGTCCGAGATGGGTGGAAATACAGAGGACCACAAACATTGTTATCAAGTTTAAAGGAATTTGGAAAATATTTGCGAGTGTTAATGAACAGAAACGGCAGACAATGACGTTTTTCGTTATTCAAGGGGCCATAACTCTGCCAAATCAAGTCAGCTGAAAGTGGTCATCGTACTTGGCTATGCCCTTAAGCAATTTAACCCTGTGACCAAGATTGAAGAAAATCGGTTAACATTTGTTGTAGTTATTGGACGGAAACGAAGCGCGGCAGATAGTGACGTTTTTCATTATTCAAGGGGCCATAACTCTGCCAAATGAGGTCCGCAGAAAGTGGTCATAGAACTTGGCCTGGGTATTGTTATTGCACGGAAACGAAGTGTGACAGACAGACAGAAGGACGGACAAACCCAAATTTATATCCCCCGTTTTGTTGAAAGCGGGGGATAAAAATCATAAATCTCCTTCCCAAATTCCAAAAGAGGGAAAGTTATACAGTTGAAACGGGTAAAATACTTTTTTAAACAAGAAATTTATTTGATATTTTTGGTCATGATTGTTTACCATTTTTCTTGTTGTTCTGCATGCTCCAGACGGATCAAAGAGATTTTCTCGCTTTTCCCTATTTATGTAAAGTTCCCTAGGAAAAATAGAAAAGAAAGTTGAATTTGCATATTCAGCGAAGTCAAGAGTTATTGTTGAGTTTTTCATAATCATAATTTCCTTACAGTTATACGGACAGATTAGCCACAACGTAAATATATAGGCAACATAAGGGTACTTATAGACACTGCACATAACCTAACCTAGAATTTTGAAGTATCGACGAAGTGGTGTAGGCCCGCCCGCCCGTAAACTTGCATGCTTTATTATTAATCAGTGTCCATATTATAACTTATAGATATTTCAATCAAGTATTAAGTAATTGTTTCATTATATTCAATGCTGTCACTGAGCGTGCACAAAAAATCTTGTGTTCAAATGTCATTTTTTTTTACAAATGTCTGAAATACAGATGCTCACGTCATTTCTTGCAGTTGTTCTATTCAAATTGCTTTCAAACTTTTCAACTACAACTAAGTTTTACTGATATGGGTCACAGCACACATAAACACATTTTTAACGAACACCTGTGATCCAGGGTCGTGATTCACGTTGCTTTTATTGCTTCATAGGCAGACTTCGTCCACCATTCTTTCTTTTGAATAAAAATCATGAGCCTACAACAATATTTCTTCATTGACATGAGCCCGTTTGAAACACCTTTACTATGGATTTTGGGTTGTTGAAAAGTTCTGAAAGTTTGTTTACATTACCTCCTATACTTACAGTTTCTTTTTGACCATTTTCTTGATATCTTCGATGTCACGAGGCGTAACAGCAGCCATGCCGACTACTGTATATTTGCACCGTCACTTGAAATTGTTGTCACGATAAACTGTCAATGCACTACCTAATAGGCTGTCAGAAAAAACACTTCACACAAAAAGCGTTGTAAGTGTCATGACAATCACAGTTACACTGACGCTTTAAACACAGGAAAAGTCTGCGTGTTAGAGACGTTTAGATTTATGGGGCCCTCAAAAGGGGAAACTTAACATTATCGGGCGCGAATTCAGGGGTTCAAGTTACCGTTATACCACGGACTTAGATAATCTAATTCCGTGGTTATACTATGCGTAATATATATAAATATGCAAATCAGCTGTCTGAGTGATGCTTTAGTTGCATTAAAATGATACAAACAAAGTATACTGTATATAATTAGCAAAATAATTTGTTATATTTTTAAAAAACGACTGTTTTTCTATTGTATGAAATCATAATTAAGGTTTTACCCCGAACGAAAATTGAAATTAATATATATTATTATTCTATATGATCCAAACACAAAAATGTCGTGAAAACCGCATTAAAATCGGTCATCCCGATACCGAGATATCGACGTGTAAAGTGTAGGATTTTCACCTGTCCTTCTACTAATTAGCACAATCGTAACTCGCGGTGATTTGGCCCATATCGGCTGTGACGTCACAAGTTCAACGCCTGTAGCGGTCACCATCGAGGAAATAGACGATATCGAGAACAGCCATCACCAAACAGCGTCAGATTGCGATTTTTTTAAAAATTTTGCTGAAGACAACAATGTCATGATGTAGATGGTATCCAGTCATATAAAATTTGCCAACATTTCCAGACAGTGAGTTTAACTGAAACCAAACTGACTACTCTGAATACGGTAACATAGACTGGCATTGAATGTCCTTATTCTGAGCGCTGATTTTTTCTCGAATGAACGAGTTTGAGGGAAATTAAACAGAAATAGTCTCAATGTTGTCGATCAAAGATGTTTTAGCTGGAAAGTCAGTTGGCAATACGTTTACTTCACATGTCTCTTCTCTACAGTAAAAGCCTATCCAATCATGTCGTCATTGAACAGCACAACCTCCGTTCGTGACCTTCTCTAGCCAAGTGTTCACTCCTTGGCTAGGCAGTTTCTGTGCCGGATTATTCATCTTGCAAAGTTATATACTGTGGTACCTATACGGTCCCGAAATACGGAAATTTATCAGTGAAAAATGTTTACAAAATAACTTCAACGTTGGTGTCGGCTGTTTTTAAATGTCAATATTTTTAGTAATGACAAATCGACGACACTGTGTCTTTCTTATGTTAGGTCGACAATTCAAATAAACAGCAAAATACCGACAGTTACACATTTAATTGTAGACAATACAGTTCCTATGTATGTGATGCTAAATAAGATCACGGACTTATATAATCTAATTTCATGATTACATTTATCTCAAAAATATAGTTGAATAATGAGATTCAAACATTTTTGTTTCTCCCTATACATGTAGCATACACAACGTCAAATTATAAATTAACATCTTAGTTATATAATAAAAATCATCTCGATCCACTCTCTTAGCATACTTAGGTGTGAAATTTGTGTACAGGTAAATAACACTAAACGCCTGTGTCCAGTACTGACAGCAGGAGGCCCAAGACATACTATATACCTGTGTTCAGGTATGACATCAAAGGGATGTCAGCAGGTGGGCAAGGGGGTACCTGAAGTTAGTATGTAGATTGCATTTGGTGTAGATGACAATTTAACAACAATGTCCTCAGGCGAGATAACGGGGAAATGTATAAGCAGAGACGTTTATATTACAGAGATTGGCAACTCACGCAGATCTCGCAAAATTATTACGTCTCTGGTCTCTGGTATAAGGATCAATTTCAAGAAAAATATAAATAAATGAAATAGGTAAGTACTGTCACAGAGTCACGTTATACATATGCAAACCACAATCAGTACAACTGCATCGCTCGACAGATGAAAGTCAGAAACGAGGCAAATAATGCTGTACCATGTTATGCACATTATATATCTGATCAGGTGGTTCATTGATAAATTACTCATCTTTGTGAGACTTTAACGCCCCCC